AAAACAAGAATAGCCAGGGCCACTATCCAGAAATTTACAAATACAAAATTCCTATTACTTGGATTGAAAGTTGTCAATAAAGAAATTATTGACGTTGTATCTAGAGGCCCTGTTTGACATGGCTAACTCTTCTGGCAATAAGCCCCCTCACCTGCTTACCTAATAGTGCTGTTTTTCCCTTGCTTGCCTTTTACACCCTAGTTATCCTTAAATTTGTGCCTTGAAATTCCGTCAACAATCTGCATGCATTGAAGACTGTTTATCCTAACATATTTCTTACATAGTGTCATTGATCAGGAACCTGCTATAATCTGCGGGTAACAAAGCTTAATCAACTTGGAACCACATGATTCTGAGTTAACTGAAAAACTAAGACTAAAGATAAAATGCATTAATAAATTCTGAAGTTATAAAATGGTTGCAAAATTAAAAGTATAGTTTTACAGAATAATTTTGCTTCACATAGGTGTGCAACAACATCACTGTATGAAAAAAAATTAAATTATATTGTTGGTAAGAGCCGAGCCCAAGTAGCTTCAAATGCATTTAGGTGTATTAGGTCCGTTTGATGTCATGCTTTCATATATAATATCCCTGAAAAGTTGTGTAGCAATAGGGAGAAACATATTTGACTTCTGCTAATGAGTTTGGTAAGCTTAAAACATTAAGCTTGTTAGATAAGCTCAAAACCAAACTGAATTTGCCATCCATTCTACTTTGGAAAATAAATTAGAAACAGCTTTCACAAATTTTTAATAGGTAAATTATATTAAGCTAAAGCTGTCACTTAAATTCAAATCCCTATTTCTGAGTATGATGCATGATTTAAAGGTATTACAATTAATGGAAAATATAAACAAATGTTAACACCTTCATAAAGCATTATTTTTAAAAAAAGCAAAAAAGCAGTGGAAACCTGAGTAAAAAGAAGCCAGGAAGCAGCTGAAAAAGAGACCGGTTCACTGTGAGAAATGTAAACCTCTCAGACAGTGCTACGGCCCCGAATCCAACAGCTCAGGAACAAGGCCAATTATTGCAAAATATTAAATGTATATGGTGAAGCTACAAATTTTTCAAGTCATAACAGCAGCTACATAGGAAAGAGCTAAAGCTTTGTAAACCTAAAGTCTTTGCTATAATTACTACCTGCAGAAAAAGTTTCTTTATAGTATACCAAACTCCTTATATGCAGTATACTTTACAGTATTCAAAGTATACATTTTATGATAAAGGTTTAAAGTAATAAATCTCTATTAGTGCAACTGGTAAGTAATCCGATCTTTTGAAACAGTTGCTTTCATGGACTCCAGTTATTGACAGTTGGTTGCCAAGCTATTACAAACCAATTCTCTAATATTCTATCTTTCTGCACTAGAAATGACTCATATGAGACACAAAGAATCATGGAGTTGTAGAGTACACACAGGCTTCAATAGACATTATAGTAACATTTCCATACTTTGCAAATGAGTCCAACTGAAACTCAGTGCCTTTAAGTGATATGCCTAACACCAGTTAAAAATGACTAAGGGCCATCAGGATTCTGATTTTATTTTGTTGTTCTTTCCCATTACACAATCCATTGTCCAGAAAGTGTTATGTATGTAACCAGGGATGTTTCCTCTGTTTCTGTTGATAGGGGTTTACTCAACCTTGTTTTGAATGAACAGTTCAGTAGTTTTACATTCATAACAAAAGACTAATACATTCATTTCACCAGCAATGATGTTAGTCCTGATTTTAGTTGTGGTCAACTGGCACACATGGATAAACGACCTAGAGCATTTTATCCTTGAGATATTTCCCCAACCTCCTCCCTACCCGCCAAAGGAAAAATAACAAAAGATCCTGTATTTCTACTGCCCATACCCTATCTGGTCTAAAAATATACTGTGCTGTCAGGTTTGTTAATTTAGGGCAAAATTTCTTTAAGTTCAAATATAAACATTTAAACATTATTTGTGCCACAGTGAAAAAAAAATCATTCCAAATCTATTAGTGTTTTCATTATTTGGCTGAATAATTAGTTTCACTCTTGTATGTAATAATAATAAAAAAAATGTTTCTTGACACTTTGTAGGGTAAGCACTGTTTGACAAGATATAAAAATAGATGTAAAAAATTATTTCTCATTTTTAATCAGATTGGGATAGTAGAATATGAGACAGGTAAGAAAATAAAAACCAAGAGGAAACCCAGAAGTATGTTTCCATATAAAAATGTAAACTATCAGATAGCAATTGCTATATATCTGTAAAAAAAAAAACTCAAAAAAAATGAGCTATCTTGCTAATTTCCCAGTACATTTTACTTTTCTACACTAGGGCACAAACAAATATAAATGCACACTTTTCTGTTAAGCTGTTTTTTTTTGAGATGGAGTCTTACTCTGTTCCCCAGGCTAGAGTGCAGTGGTGCAACCTACGCTCACTGGAACCTCTGCCTCCCAGGTTCAAGTGATTTCGCCTGCCTCAGCTTCCTGAGTACCTGGGACTACAGGCGTGTGCCACCATGTCCGCTAACTTTTTTGTATTTTTTTAGTACAGAGTTTCACCATGTTGGCCAGGCTGGTCTCAAACTCCTATCCTCAGGTGACCCACCCAAAGTGTTGGGATTACAGGTATGAGCCACCATGCCTGCCCTTCTGTAAGTTTTGACATAAAAATTAACAATGAGCTAACTACAAAAATGTCTTTAGATTATAACTTTTAAAAAACAGTTCAAATTCCCACTAATTCTATGAAAAAGTTCAATGCAATTACCAATACAATAGTTGGCACTGGCACTGCTGAACTTCTCTTTAAAGGGAAATTTTTATGATACTTATTGGCATAACAAAATTCCTTTTTCTTTCAGATAAGAATGCTTTGAAGATTTATTCCTCTTTTATTCTTCAAATTGAATGAGAGTCAACTAACTTAAGCTGCAAGTTAAGAGGATACTATAAAAATAGCTGAAAAGACAAGTCTCGTTTTAATAAACTGTTATATTATGACTGACTCATAAGAGTCAAACACAATGTCAAACATTTTTCAAAGACATGATTCTCTTTTTTGTGCCTGTAGCACTATCCAGATGCAATCTGATTTACTGTTTGCTCCTTCTCATCGTAACTAGCATCAGAGAAAACCTCACAATTAAAAATATCACCAATGATAAACACATGCTATCTGATACACAGATGTTTTGGCCCCCAATCAGGCATATTTAGTTGTATTCTATTAAGTGTGATTATTATTTTTTTTTTGCAGAGAAGCATTTTTACTAGCACACCAGTCCCAACCTGTGATTGAAAGTGATTTTGTAGACAGTTTGACAATGGGGAAGAAGAAAAATTTTGCCATGTTGAAGAACAAAACTAGTAAGCTAACTCAAATACAGAACAAAGGATTTTTGCTTGCCTTATTAATAGAGTGTACTAATGAATTAAGTTAATTAGTCACATACAAGGGAATTTAAATGAGCAGCATGAAGGTGCATTTCTTTATTATCATGACATCAGCTATAGTCTGTGTTATAATTCTGGGAGAAAAATGTCAAGAAAAAACAGTATGAAAATTCAATTACTTAAGGTCCAGAAAACTTCAGAAAATTGTTTCTGAATAAAACACCAATGTATATAAAGCTAATGAGCAGTGCCACAACCAATGTTAACACGAATACAGAACAACTTTTGATACCTTTTGAAATTAGATCATATACTAGTTTACAATATTTGACATGGGCTGTATTATTAAATTTTAGGTAACTTGCAACTAAAATTCTAACTTGGCTAAAATGACCAATGTTTGTATTCAACATTCTTTGGAAGAACATTTGTCAAACGTACAATACAAAGCTAGTAACATACTAAAAAGGGGAGAACCTGTAAACTAACCACAAGACAACATCTAAGAGTAACAGATTAAGGACCTGGAAGTTATCCCACACGGCTATGCTAAGCATGATCTATATCTAGCAAAGGAAGTTTGGGAGTCACAATGATCACTGAAGACTGCAACAGTAAAGAGAAGTATGGCTACTACTCATCAGATGGGCCAGTGCAGAGATGCATCTCCTAAACTGGTAGCAACCATGAAGAGTTTCACACAGTATCAAGAGCAGTAAACAGCCTCAGTGGAGGTGGAGGTTATGGGTTTCTCAGTGAGTCACACTCACATAGTCTGGGAGCCTCCAATAGTAAAAAACAGTTAAGAAAGCTCTAAAGAAACCAATGATAAAATTCTACTTCAACTCCTAGAGTTATGAAAGGCTGAATAAATACCTTATTAAACATCTGGGACAGAGGTACACATCTAGGTGAGAAGCATATAGAGAAATGAGTTCATTAAAAATCAGTAAGGTAGTTTTATACACTGAGATCACAATTGTTTTCAGTGAATGCTTGAAGAAAATCTGCAAAGTACTAAAACAAAAACAATGCTGAGTTTTAATAAATTTCATTTAAGTGGACTTAGATTGTATTTGGTTTAAAAATACTTTTCACTATCAATCAACAAACTGAAAAGCAAAACAGAAAATATGCTAAGAACATCATTTCTTTTAAAGGCATGCCTACTAAAACATCAAAATATCATCCCTAGGCTAGAGTTCTCAATCCCGGTTAGGTGGTTTTGATCTTTGCTTCTGGTTAGCCATTCGTAAGTCATCTTGCCTTGCCTCTCTTTTGCTGTTACCATAGGTGATTTATCAGGCTGCAAAGAGAGCTTCAATTTCAGTGGCAGTGAGGGATGGCAGCCACTTAACACACTACGTAGGATATTCCCAGTACAGCTCCCAACCCTTTAGCCTATAGACCTGACAGAGTAGTATTTTCCAGAGGATGGTAAGATTTGCTCACTCTTTTAATCTCACTGGTTTGCAAACTCATAGGCATGAACATATTTGAGATTCTGAGAGACTGATTAGGTACTATCTTAAGAGCAATACTGAAATAGAAATAAGATGGAAAAAAGCAACACCTATGGCTCAGAAGTTACGACATAAGAAACACGACTCACCTGTCTGCTGTGCAGGTTGTGGCAGTGGTTGGTTTAGATGTGAATTGTAATGAACAGAAGGGACTGGGCGATACTGAGGTTGACTGGAGTGATAGTGGCCTGGAGCACAATAACAGGCTGGCATCTAGGATCATTAATATTGAGGGAAAAAAATCAGTTTTACTTGGATTACATATGTTTTTCTGTGAGGAACTTCAGAATTTAATGAGTAATAATTCTTTCTAGCACTAATCATGAAAACTGATTTTTCTTAAATTTTTCTTAAACTGAAAAATTAAAAAAACTTCAAATATACAGTATGCATAAAAATATATGTATCACCAATCATATTTAGATTTTAATTTTTTTGCCATATTTGCTTCAGATGTCTCTCTTACAAAACCAAACATCAGCGAATTAGCTAAAGACTCACCCTATTTCCTTTACTCTAACTTCCGTAGAAGGCATTATTCTGTAGTTGGTGATTTTACTATATAGTATATATTTACTATATATCTATTATCCATACATGTATTATTTTATTTATTTTTAATTTTATTTATTTTTGAGGTGGAGTCTCGTTCTGTCGCCCAGAATGGAGTGTAGTGCCACCATCTTGGCTTACTGCAACCTCTGCCTCCTGGGGGTTCAAGTGATTCTCCTGCCTCAGCCTCCCGAGTAGCTGGGATTATAGGTGTATGCCACCATGCCAGGCTAACTTTTGTATTTTCAGTAGAGGTGGGGTTCACCATGTCGGCCAGGCTAGTCTCTAACTCCTGACCTCACGTGATCCACCCACCTCAGCCTCCGAAAGTGCTAGGATTACAGGCATGAGCCACTGCACCTGGCCGAGAATTTTAAAAATCCAAATGTCCAAAATCTGAAATATTCCAAAATCTTTAATTCTCTGAGTACCAACATGATGCCATGTTTGAGTACCAAGCATCATGTCATGTTAGTACTCAAAAAGAAACTCCACACCTGACCTCATGTGACAGGTTACAGTCAAAACTTTATGTCATGCATGAAATTATTTAATATACTGCTTATATTACCTTAAGGCTATGTGTGTAAGATATATATAAAACACAAGTGAGCTTGGTTTTAGACCTTGGGCCCTATCCTGAGATATCCCATTGCATATATGCAAATAATAATAAAAAAAAAATCAGAAACTTCTGGTCCCAGGTTTTTGAAATAAGGGAAATTCAACTACACATAACTTCATGAAATTTATTTTGCAATTCATATTGTTTTTGAGACATCTTTCTTTATTGAAACATATACAGCTAGCTCATTCAATTTAACTGCTGAATAACATTCACTGTATAAACTATTTAACCATTCCCACATTAATACACAATTATACTGGTTCCATTCTTTAATTTTGCTCATATAGACATGTATCAAAAAGTGACATTTTGGTCAACAATAGATTGTATATATAAGGGTGGCCCCCTAAGTTTATAAAGGAGCTGAAAAATTCCTATCACCCAGTGACATCATGGCCCAATGCATCACTACCAGGTTTCTGTAGTCCTACTGTGCTAGCAGTTGTTTAAAAGTATAGCAGACAGTATATAAGACTTGATAATGATAATAAGTGACTATGTTATTGGTTTATGTATTTAATATATTTTCAGTTATTCTTTTAGAATGCAGTCCTTCTGGGCGGGGTGTGGAGGCTCATGCCTGTAATCCCAGCACTTTGGAAAGCTGAGGCAGGAGGATCACTTGAGCCCAGGAGTTCAAGAACAGGCTGGACCACATAGTGAGACCCTATCACTACTGAAAATTAAGAAATTAGCTGGGTGGTGGCGTGACCACCTGTAGTCCCAGCTACTCAGGGGCTGAGGTGGGGGAAATCACTTGAATCCAGGAGGTCACAGCTGCAGTGGTGCAGTGGGCAGTGATTGCTTCACTGCACTCTCTAACCTGAGTGATAGAGGTGAGACCCTATTTAAAAAAAAAAAAAAAAAAGAACGCAGTCCTCTACTTACTAAAAACAAAAAGTTAACTATAAAATGATTCAGGACCAGGTGAAGTGGCTCACACCTGTAATCCTAATTCACGCCCAGCCTGTGTTTTTTTTTTTAAAAGAACATCAAAAGAGTTGATAAATTATCTAGATAAACTAATAAAAAAAAAAGAGAGACAAAAATTACCAATATCAAGACATAAAAAGGGGATACCACTAAGATCCTACATACAGTAAAAGCACAAGGGATATTAAGAACAATTTGACAACAAAAATGTGCAACACAAAATGGACACAAACTATAACATTTAGTCCAAAGAGAAACAGAGAACTGGAATTGTTCTGTATCTACTAAGAAATAAAATTTGTAATTTAAAAACCTTCCCTGCAAAAAATCTCCAGCTACAGAGAATTCATTGGTGAATTCTGGCAAACATGTAAGAAGAAATAACATCAATCCTACACAAACACCTTCAGAAAGTAAAGGAGGAGGGAACAATGTCCAACTCATTTTGAGGCTACTACCACCCAGATATTACAACCAAAAATATTACAAGCAAACTGCAGACCAGTATCTTTCATGAACATAGATGCAAAAATTTTTAACAAATATTAGCCAACTGAATCCCACAATATATAAGAAGAATACTACTTCATAACCAAGTGGAGTCTGTTTCAGAAATTAAAAGCTAGTTAAATATTTAAAAGTTTCACTATGTTACCCAGGCTAGTCTCCAACTCCTGGGCTCAAGCCCAGCCTTGTGAGTCTGCTTCAGCCTCACAAAGTGCTGGGATTATAGTGTGGGCGACTGTGCCCAGCCTTACCATTTTATTTTTCAGTGCATTTACACTTTATTGTGTTTCTCTTAGGCTAGTTTTTTAAAAATCCACACCTCTCAGTCAGGAAGAAAAATGCCTCAAAGCTCACATACTTTACCAACCAACTAGAGCATTTACCTGTCACATGGTTGTTTAGCATGTACTTAGGTGGGGGAAAGATGACTCTATGCTTTGTTTACAGACTCACAAATTATCTTCATGAGAATTTACAAATAAGTTCTTTGAAGTTAAAACTGATCTTAATGAGAGGTTTCCACAAGAATGAAAAGATTAAAAAGCAGTATACCTGTGGTGATGGCTGCTGAATATATCCCTGCTGCTGGAGCACAGGTTGGCTGACAGGATGACCAGAGGCAGAATACCCAGCAGTAGGGACTGGCTGCCCAGGTGGTAGGGGAGGAGGAGGAGGAGGTGGTGGTGGTGGTGGAGGAGGATGTGGTGGAGGGGCTGCTGTCATGATATAACCAGACTGCTGTGGAGACTGAAGAACCACAGTGGACTGGAACATGGCGGCATGAGGGTCAGAACCATCAGCAGATGGCTGGCGAGCAAGACTCATGTGGCTAAACTGAGACCCAAGGTTATCCTGCTAAGAAAGGAGCAAGTCAAAAATTAGTAAGCCCTCTACACACAGGCCAAACTTATCAAAGAAAAATACTTACTATTTTTAAATAAGGTGCAGTAGTACACATTATGAAAATTATATATATCTACCAAATAAATGATGTAATAGAGTGACGCTTCAAGAAAATGACAACTCTATTGCTGAATATTACAATGCTGTCATTATAAATTATTTAAAAAATATATCTAATGGTGATGTACAGCATGCAGAAAACAGTAGGGTGCCACATTTCACATTAAAAAATGAAAAGACATTTATTTAAATGAAGATGAAAGGAACATTAGAATGTAGAAGTGAAATTGGCATGTTCTTATTATACAATTAATATTTTCTGAAAGGACTTCAAAGACCAAGCAATGAGCAAGGTACTAATTAGTATTTGCTTTAAACTATCTCCTTTCTTCCTAGAAGGCAAAATTCAAATTCTATGCATTTTTGTATCCCTAACCATCAAAATTACTTGCAGAAATTAAATACATAAAATCCAACTACACAGTCCTTTCTCTAATCTCTTAAAAATAATTTGGCCATACATTCCATTCTTCCCTTGTGTTGTTTTTCAGTCTGTTCCTGAAGTCATATATTTGACAAATGTAATTCAAATGACAGTTTCCTACGCTTTTGCTAAATGGTGCCCTACCAAGACAAGGGTTATGATTTATGTGCTATCTGACAAACATTTCTCTAACTCAGCAGCATAAGGATCAGCTCTTATTGTTCCAGAACAATATCACTGAAATGATGATATGGGGTTAAAATGCACCCTGTTCCCAAGAAACCACAGACTGGCAACAAAATATACCACATTTTGATAAGAGGTCAACAATGAAAAAAATGACTTACAACACTATGGCAATTGAGTCATTAGATCAAAGTTGACACGTCTGCAGTTTCTAGATCTGCTGGATTTTGCAAAGTAAATTAAGGCTATGGAGAAGATAAAGGACTGAAAGGAGAAGCCTGATTTAATGATTGGAATATATGGTTTCTCTCTTCCCAAACTGTCACTCTGACATACTCTGGCACTATCAACCTAATTCAGGGAATGGTTTCAAAAGGAAAAAACATACCTATGGACTGTAATTTCAACATTATATGATCAAATATTGTTAACACAAGTACCATAACTGTAACACCACTCTCAGAGTCACCTTGGATAAAAGTCATTTTCTTATTGCAATAAAAATTGGGGCATATTTTGGATTAAAGAAAGTATCATTACAATCAAATATTAAATATCTAGAAATCTTCTTAGAAAATATACTTAAATGTCTTCTGTAGCTGTAAGCTACAAATCACCCTAAGAACTGGTACTGACTACTGGACCTACAGTAGCATTGGGGAGAAAATAGAATGTCTAAACCCAGACGAAAGCTGCCACCCCAGGACAGCACAGATCCTGCACTGACCTCAATGAGAAAGTTGCTGAAACATCTTAGGACTAGAATAATCAATCTGAAAATTCTTTCATTATGAAAAAGTAGAAAAACGTTAAGCAATTACCATAATAAGTCACTATAACCAATATTTTATGGCACCAAATAAATTATTTCTAGTATGAACCAGAAATACTTTTTTTGGATACGTATGTATACCTGACTCAAAAAAATCACAAGAGATCCTATTACATTAATGACATTCTTGCACATTCATCACACATCCACCCACGGAAACAATGCAGGAGGTGAATAGAGATATAGTACCACGGAGTATTGCTGGGTGGGTGAGACTGGCAGGAGCGGGGATGGGTAAGGGACTGTAGAGTACTGAACAGGCTGTGAAGAGGACTGCAGAGGACGAACAGGCTAAGGAATAACAGGTTGGCAAACAATGTTAATGTCAGAATAAAATGTTAGAAGAATTGCATAAAATGGAAATTTACACTTTTTGGCAATAGCTTTAACTACATTTATAAAGTCATTTAAAATACAACAACATAGAAAACAACAAAAACAATACAAAGTGAAGAAACTATAATATATTAAAACTTTCAAAAACATATGTACACCTTATTACATAATTAGGAGGATAATGTTTTGCAATAAAAATATTTCTTTACTATAGATTAATGGGAACAGGTGATTTAGGCATTTTAAATCCTATTATTTAATCAAGACCTCTGGGTTAAGTCTGTAAAAGCAAAACTACTTCTCATTATTTCTTGGTTTTATGAAAGGGCTGCCCTATTTAGTGGTATAACACTAAATTAAAAAAAAAACTTTATTCTTAGTATCAGACAGTAATAACTTACACAATAACTGTTCCAATTACCTTACTGATAAGGCATAATTAAGCAGTGTTTTGGGACCAAAGCCTTTAACTTTTAACAATTTTATAAGAAAAATTCACTGGATAAAAAAATATAGTGGGAACCATTAAAAATAAAAGCCTAAGGCACAATGCACATATACATACAGACATGCGTACACACACACACAAACACATCTCTTTAACATAAGGAAGACAAACACTTTCTTTGTAACTAAACACATTTCTATTAAGATAGTACATGTTAGGAGCTGAGAAACCAGTTACCTGAAATCTCTGGTCATTAATTAAACACTCTTGAGTTTCAGGAAAAAACACTTTTATGTTTCCCACGGGTACTCAAAAACAGGTGTTTTTTTTGTTTGTTTGTTTTTATTTTTGAAGTTGTAATCTCTTTTCAATTTTGGGAATACAGTTAGTCGGTCATCCACAAACTAAAACTGGCATCTGATTTAATTTTCTTACATATATATTTTTTATTACAAAAAAGGTAATATACATATTGGCTTAAAGACTATAGCAATCCACTTTATAGATGGCAATCAGACTACGGTAAATTAAAAGACTTGTAGACAGCCACATAAACAAGTAGATGAGAAATGCAGGGAATCTTATTTGATAAAAACTCTTAGTTGAAATGTATATTCATGCATCTCCCTCTGAATAATATCTCTGAAAAGAATAAAAATGTTAAACTAATGGAATTAAGATTGTTCAGGGAATAATTTAAATAGAGAACTTCTATGTCAACTAAGATAGACATTGTTTGTCTATGACATCATAAATAGATAATGATTTGAGTTACACTTTTACCACAAAATCAACACAATGGTTTCTAAAAAGCAATGGCTTAGACTAGCTTAAAATAAAGCAAAATAAGCCGGGTGCAGTGGCTCATGCCTGTAATCCTAGCACTTTGGGAGGCCAAGGTGGGTGGATCACCTGCAAGACCAGCCTGGTCATCATGGTGAAACCCCATCTTTAAAAAAAAAAAAAAAAAAAAAAAAAGAAATATGTGAAAATAAAGCAAAATAATCTATAATAAAAGCAGTAAAAAAATCTTTCAGAAAAAGCGGAAAGATCGACAGCCTCTGGTCCCTCACAAAGCCCATGGCTACAAATAAGTGAGCTTCCCAATGAATTACAGCACATATTATACTACATGAGGTGTAATGGCTTTAGAACTTTCAAGAACAGGCTACTTGATGTGTTACTAAGTTAGATAACCATTAAGACATAATTTTCAGATGACTTGACCTCCTATGTCAGTGTCAGATGAAAAAAAACTTTTAGTCAGCTGGGTGATTAAAGAAAGTATTGTGAACACCAGTGGTATGAATTAATGTTTGAGTTTCAGAGAGTAATGAAAAAACTGTGAGCTAGAAGATTGACTGATCAAAGTAAAATTCTGACACCATTTAGAGAAAAAGCCTTAGCACTTCCTTTTCCTACTTGAAGTGCGATTGGCTTCAAAACAACATTCACCTAAAGTTACTGGTTTTATCTTATGTCCAAGAAAAGTAGCCCTTCTGAAGGCTTTGGAAATCACAGCATTATTTTGTTTGGTTATTTAAAATATCATTGATAAATTATTTTAGATTATACAAAATATATTTATTGAGAATGATTTGTTCTTGAGTCTCTGTTTCTGGATCTGATGAGGAATTACCTGAAACACTTGGAGTAATGCTAGAAAAATGTTATGAAATTTGATGAATACCCCAATAATTCAAATTATAGCTCATTAAAGCCTCTGTTTTTAAACTAGGTGGACTACATCTTCATTTAGAGCTATCTCTTATAACTAAATCAAAGTTCTAAGAGACAACAATCTGAAGTATATAATCACAGATAAATCCTAGATTTTTAAAAGTTGCCAGATTAACATTATTCCCACTGAAATTTAAATAAAAATGAAACCAAATGAAAATCAGTGCTTTAAAGCTCCTGGTGAAATACATGGTACTGCAAAGACAACTACACGACAGCATAATAAAGAGGAAACTCTTTGGGACCAAGACTAAAGCCACGACAGAGAAAGCCAGGGAAGTTTTATGTAAGCTTAGTGTATGTAAACAAATGGGTTTAGGAAGGGAATATGGGAGTCTGTGGAAATAGTTTTAGGCAATCCATTCTACATACATGAACTGATTTGTATTGTCTTAGAAGTTTATCTAAAACCTATAAGTTCTTCTTTTAAAAAAAAAACTGCCTTGCCTAGTATTAGGAGTCTTAATTGCCAGAAGTACAATTATTTTAATGACTTTCACAACATTAAATAATGTAATTAAATTCATGTTCTTCAAATCTGCAATATCATTTGTGAGCAAAATTAATAAAATTTCTCCAGTTCAAGTTTATCATGATCCCCGCCCCCCCCCCCTTTTTTTTTAAAGGGACGCTCATTTAATTTTTTTTTTTTTTGAGACAGAGTCTTGCTCTGTCACCCAGGCTGGAGTACAGTGGCCAGAACTCGGCTCACTGCAACTTCCAGGCTCAAGTGATTCTCCTGCCTCAGCCTCCCAAGTAGCTGGGACTACAGGCACACACCACCATGCCCGACTAATTTTTGTATTTTTACTAGAGGCAGGGGTTTCACCATTTTGGCCAGGCTGGCCTCGAACTCCTGACTTTATGATCTGCCCACCTCAGCCTCCAAAAGTGCTGGGATGACAGATGTGAGCCACCCTGCCCAGCACATCACACTTCTTTCCTACAAAATTACTCTGCATGTTTTCACCAATGGAATATTTAGAGTCTTGCAGGGAAAAAGACGTCTAACTAACTACATAAACTTTGATATGTTAAATAACCTTTAAAAGTTAGGATAAAAATAAGAGTTCATACTGGTATAATCAAGTTCCCCAAAAATGGACAAAATACATCTTCAGGGGAAAAAGACTGCTTGTGAAAATGAATGTGTAAATTCTAAACATTTTTACAAACTCAAAATATTATTAAGAGTACTTTTGGGATTTCTAACTCAGAACTGCTTTATCTTTCATAGGGTAGGTAGAATGGATGAAGAGTACCTTGTAGAGCCTGAGCAGCCTCTCTCAGTTTCTTCTAACTGCTTAATCTGTGGAATCTTAAAACAACTCACTTTGCTCACTTGGCCAATGAATAATCTCAGTTTCATTTTTATTCCTCCTGTTGTCCATTTCTTGCTGTTGTGAAATAGGGATAATACTCACCAGATAGTCTCATAAGATTAAAACAATTTCCTTCTTTCCAATATATTTTCAGTATCTATCAGTAGAAAAGCCCTTGAAGTTATCTCTCTTTTCCTATGAGTAGTGAGTGGAGTATCACCGGTGGCAGAATATTAAAGTTCTAAGAGATACTTACTTGGGCTATTTCAATTATAAGTAGTGCATTTAGTCCCAAATATGTAAAGGCACGTCAACTTAGCATTACATAATCGTGGATATGTGCACCTGTGAGAAAATGTGATTAGCTGCTGGTTGTTGAGGTGGGGGTGGCAGAGGTGGCTGTGGAGGTCCAGGCACTTGGGGTCTAACTGGTTGTTGAGTCATAGGAGGATTATACACAACTGGACTGCCATCTGGGTTTATGAAGGGCTGACCTGAAAAATTTAACAAGAAGGAAAAAAAAAACTTAGAATACAGATAGAAAATAGGTGCTCCTCCTAAAAATTTACAAAGCATGTCCAAAATCCCTTAACCACAATTACAAAAAATCTAATATTTTGAAAACCAAAAGATTTCCTTAGCTTGGGAAATAGCCTGATCCAACATGAGGCTATTAAAAGTCTTTATTTTTCTCACTTAGAGTTAATATTCAAATGTTTTACTGCATTTCTTATTATGAGGTGCTGCCCCAGACCTCTAGTGAGCTTAATTTAATTAATCAATTAATTATTATTATTTTTTTAGATGGAGTCTTGCTTTGTTGTCCAGGCTGGAGTACAGTGGCACAATCTCACTTCACTGCAACCTCTGCCTCCTGGGTTCAAACAATTGTCCTGTCTCAGCTTACCGAGTAGCTACGATTATGGGCATGTGACACCACACCTGGCTAATTTTTGTATTTTTACTAGATGGGGTTTCACCATGTTGGCCAGGCTGGTCTTGATTTCCTGATCTCAGGTGATCTGCCCAACTCGGCCTCCCAAAGTAATCCCAGCTTTATTTTATAATATGTAGTATTTTCTGAAAAACTGAATTATGAAACACATTTAGCCTAAGAAATTCAGTTACAGGATTGGGGTCCTATAAGGCTATATTTCAGTTTAAAGAGAAAATGTTTGACTTCAGGATACTGGGAAGTTATTCATAAGTTTTTATTAGGACGTAGGAAATATTTAATTTTTAGGCCACATTACATATATTTCACTAACAAAATTAGAACTGGATGAAAACTAAAATGATTAACAGCTTCATGCTTCATATTGTAAACTTGATGGTACTGTCCTTATTTTACCACCTCTTTTTGTTTTTTTGAGACAGAGCCTTGCTCTGTTGCCCAGGCTGGAGTGCAGTGGGGCAATCTCAGCTCACTGCAACCTCAGCCTCCCCTGGATTCAAACAATTCTCCTGCTTCAGCTTCCCAAGTGGCTGGCATTATAGGCACCTGCCACCATGCCCAGCTAATTTTTATATTTTTAGTAGAGATGGGGTTTTACCAGGTTGGTCAGGCTGTTCTCGAACTCATGACCTCATGTGATCCACTCACCTTAGTCTCCTAAAGCGCTCAGATTATAGGTGTGAACCACTGTGCCTGGCTTCTCTACACATATACTCTAAACAACTTTTTCTTATTGCAAAATGTAACATTTTTAGTCTAAGAAAGTAACAGAGATAAAAAAGAAATTCCCCACCATCTTTGTGTGTGTAATTTCCCTTTTATTTTAAGTTCAGGGGTATATGGGCAGGTTTGTTATACAGGTAAACTTGTGTTATGGTAGTTTATTATGCAAATTATTTTGTCACCCCTAGTTATTTTTCCTGATTCTCTCCTTCTTCCCACCCTCCCCTCTCCGATAAGTCCCAGAATGTGTTGTTTCCCTCTATGTGTCCATGTGTTCTCAGCATTTAGCTACCACTTGTAAGTGAGAACATGTGGTATTTGGTTTTCTGTTCCTGCATTAGTTTGCTAAGAATAATGGCCTCCAGTTACATCTGTGTTCCCGCAAAAGACATGATCTTGTTCTTTTTTATGGCTTCATAGTATTTTATGGTGTATATGTACCACATTTTCTTTTTCCAGTCTATCATTGATGGGCATTTAGGTTAATTCCATGTCTTTGCTATTGTGGAATTCCCCATAATCATATAAGTAACATTTTGGATACTGTCTTCCAGACATTTTTTCAAAACATAGATCAAAAGATTAGTATTTTTCTTCACTAAAATTGGATTGTTAAAAAAAAATCAAGAAATGATTAGATGAAATTACCTGTTCAACAACTATGAGTGAGAAAATTACAGAGAAACAGAAAAATTTGACTGAAGAACAGTTTCTTAAATTGTTGTTAAAAACATCCATTCTTCCACAGTAAATCCCTCTCCATTTTTTTTTTTTTTTTAGGAAACTTATGATATAAAATAATAATATTTGGGACAGAAGACTATACTAGTCTATACCTTTCAAGCAGAAAAAGTACTCTAAAGTAAAATTATTTTCATCAATTAGCATACTGATAATTTTTGTGATAGTTATAGATAATTAAAAACAAGTTGTGCAGGGTATTTGTTGACTTAAATAATTTGGAAAAAAAAAAACTGGTGGAGCAGATTTGGGTGAAAGTGGTCAGAAGTAATCTAAGGGTCGCCTGAAAAAAGTTAAATGTATAGTAATACTGTTGTCAAAAACCAAAGAGATCACTTTTGGATTCATCTAAATTAATAGCACAATTCAATTTCAGGCCGATCAGTTTCTCACTCTATCCCTTCCTAAGCAACTGAATCTTTCATGTTACCAAAACCATATTAACTAATATGTTTTGAATGAAGAATAGGAAAAGGTAAAATATTAAATCATCTTATATCTTGCTTCACAAAAACAGGAAGGTTAGTAACTAATACCCTGAAGAATAAGAAGGTAATTATTATTTTTTTGTTTTTTTATTTTTTATTTTTTTGTTTTACTTAAGAAGGTAATTATTAAGCAAAAAGTGAATTTCTGAAAAAGTTATTTATGCTAATTTAATTCTTATAAGAGAAACAAATGTTTGCATACTTTATCTTAAAAAGAGATGTGAACAAAACCTGAAAGTATTGAGTCCCAAGCCATGATTTTCTCTACTGCACACAAAAGGAAAGGTCCAGGAACACTTAGAGACCTGATACTTCCACCTGTATTGGCCTGTAAACTACTGCCATTATGATGAGACTACATCAGCTAAATCCATGAGGTTTAAAGTTAACAAAAGATCAAGGAGCATTTTTATTACCTTGCCAAATGACTGGGTTATGTTATCTTGAAGAGACCAAGACTTATTGTGATATTTTAAAAGATCATATTTTTTTCTATATAAATAATTTTTACCAATTTACATAGTGAAATGTACTATAACTGCAGTTTATTCACCTCTCTGAGGCTCAGTTTCCTTATTTGTAAATGAGGATTTCACCTGCCTATCAAGGTTATTATAACATATTTAAAGCACCTAACAGAGCATATGGTACAAGTAAATGCTCCAAAAACATAAATTACTGTTAGCTAATTGCAAAGGATATGTATTGTCAATATTAATATAGAATGACTGGTCCCAAGTTCTTTTTTTAAAAACCACTAAGATGTCCTTTAGCTTTTCCTCAGTAGAAAACAATCACCACATTCTGAAGGGCAATTCTTTTTTTTTCCTATTCCATTGTATTGTGAAAAAGAGCTGCTTATTTGGTCCTTCTTCATAAAATGCACCAATTTTCCCAAGTATAAAATTATTATATCATCCCAAGAAATCACCGGTGGTTAAAATAACTGTTATATCAAACAAAGCTCTTTCATAGGTAGTTGTCTCATTTCTAGGAAATAAATTCTTTAAAATTATAATCAGGCTATTATTCTGGCCTAGAAGATGTCACAAAGGGACAAATGCTTTCCAATGTAAATGTCTTTTAAACTTTCCTAGCAGAAGTGTTTTTGTTAAAGTTCTTGGAAAATGCTAAGTATTCATGAATAATAAAAAGCTGACTACACATATTCAGAAATACATTTAATAAGTATCCTTAAATTTTCAGATAATTCCTGAAACACCTTTTTCTGGATACCAACCTGTTTGTGGGTTGATCAGAATACTGCCAGGTGGTATGCCTGCGGCTTCCAAGGGAAGCAAAAAGAAGCTAGTGCTAGGAGATGCGACTTGCCCATTTAGGCCACCATCAAAGGAAAGAGAACTATGAGTGCTGACAGTTGGATAGACGACAGGTGCGCCATGAGAAGACTGGCTGAGAGCTGTACCTGGAAGAGGCTGCTGGATGTGAGAAAGAGAGCCTGTAGATGACCCTACACTACCAGAAGACTCAGAACCTAGAAGAGGAGTAATGAAAAATATGGATTTTTTAAACCTCATATAAAAACACAGGTTTTAAAGACATAACAATAAAATTTACATTGCATAACATGCAGTTACTACATAAAAGCATTGGCTATTTTTAATTTGCTGTTCACACTTGCTTACCCTCCCTATAAGGAACAAGTTTAATACAGCAAACTGATTACTTAAGTTGTCAGAGAAATCACTGCAAAAAGCATGCAACTTAAGCACGTTTATAACACCACCAGCCACAGACAGCCACAAAAAGCACATTACCCACATTCCCAAAAGGACAAAGTTATGTACATTTTACCTGTTAGATTAATACCTAGAAATATATTGATTATAATTTTTCCCTAGGAAAAAGAATTTAGTACAGCAAAATACCCAAAACCTTTAATATCAGAAATGCCTTATCTATAAGAACACAGAAAGATTTAGTGTAAGAAATAACAGAAATAATAAATTCTGTATTAAGAGAAACAATTGTCCAGTTTAATTGTGGAATCTCATTTCTCAGTTTACTATCAAAGCATCTTCCCGAAATGTAAAATTGACTTTGAGTATTTTATCTAATCAAGTGACAGAGATACCGTGAATTACTGGATTCAGCTTAAAATTTATTTCTTACTGAACTTAATATACTAATTTGATAACTGATTTTTAACTGCTTTCATCCCTGCAATTTATTCCATTTTCTATCACAGAGGAACTGAAAGTGTAATTGATTTTTAGCATAATGGATAAAAAAGGTGGACAATGAGGGATCTTATGTATATAGTAATTAGGTTTTGAATAAGAGAATTGACTCTGGGATAGAGAATTAATTTTTAATGAGTGAAACAACTATCATATACTATACAGACTGCCTTCTAAAGGACAGCTTCTATTTTAAGTTGTACCAAAATAACTCTTCCAAAGAACTATCAATTTACCTTAGGAATTAAAAACAAAACATTTTTTTACCTTTTAAAAGGGTCAATTAGTATTTCTTTTCATCTTTGAAGAGAATATACATATACATATACATATAGTACACATTCTTAAAATGTTTTGATTTGGCAGTGTGTCTACATAATTTTCTCATGATACAGTTTTTTCTGTTATGATTACTAAGTGGCCATTTTCCAAATAATGCATATTTGGTACATAAGCAGATTTCTTATACTGATAAAATTTTTTTAGCAATATCCTAACATAGATACTATGATATTTTCAATATGACCACATTGTACATTAAAAAGATGGCAACTGCAGGCCAGGCTTGGTGGCTCACGCCTGTAATCCTAGCACTTTGGGAGGCCAAGGCAGACGGATCATGAGGTCAGGAGCTGAAGGCCAGCCTGGCCAACGCAGTGAAACTAAAAATACAAAACTAGCTGGGCATGGTGGCAGACACCTGTAATCCCAGCTACTTGGGAGGCTGAAGCAAGATAATCACTTGAACTGGGAAGTGGAGGTTACATTGAGCAGAGATTGTGCCACTGTATTCCAGCCTGGGCAGCAGTGAGAGAATCCATCTCCAAAAAAAAGAAAAATAAGATGGCAACTGCAATTCATAAGCTTTAATAATTTAAAGCATTGATTACAGCTTTTCAATTCAAATATGCCCATCCATTCTTAGGTTTATAATACCTTATGTTTAGGCTTACCCAAACAGGTTAGAGAGAAATAGTCACTTTTCTTTTTCTTTTTTTCTTTTTTTTGAGATGGAGTCTCGCTCTGTTGCCCAGGCTGGAGTACAGGTACGATCTTGGCTCACTGTAGCCTCTGCCTCCCGGCGTGAAGCAATTTTCTTGCCTCAGCCTCCCAAGTAGCTGGGACTACAGGCATGCGCCACATGTCCTGCTGATTTTTTAATATTTTAAGTAGAAATGGGGTTTTGTCATGTTGGACAGGACGGTCTTGAACTCCTGACCTCAGGTGATCTGCCCGCCTTGGGATCCCAAAGTGCTGGGATTACAGGCATGAGCCACAGTGCCAGGCCAGAGAAACAGCCATTTCTGACTTTCATGCTAATTTTGGGATAAAAATAAAGATCTACAAGGGTCCTATAAACACATGAGCTTCTTTAGTATTGAAGCCAGTTAGTGAAAATGAAAAGAGGAAATGTTATGAGCCATTGTACCCTAAGGAAGCAGGCAGAAGAATAAGATTATTGAACTTTCCAGTCACTTGTAATAGTTATTTATCTTGGATTTTTAAATTCCTCAAAATCTCCTCAGCAATTCAATTCTTTTTTTAAATGGGAAATGAAGAACTTTATAATAAAAAATGCAATCAATAATTGATATTATTAGCTGAAAAAGCAATCAGTGTTAAATAATCCTAGGTGAGAAACCATGCCTTCCACCAACTTCTAACTACAAATGAGTAATAAACAATTTCTAATGAACTATGGGCATTCAAACAAGAGATGACATTTCATTGAACCTACCTGACTATAATACATCACAATAGAGAATAATTTTTATGTTAATTGATGTTTGTAAATCTGTCTCCAGGACAGAGAGTAAATCCTCGTGTCATGAAACATATTACCCCTTAAGTACTTTGGAGGTGGTCAAGGTACTATTGGTAGTGATTTTATATTTTAGGATAATTAGAAGCCATATGATAAATAAGGAGCTAAGACAACATTAGGAAAACTAATGACTCGATTTTACAGTTCTATGTAGATATTTATACCTGTTTTTGAAAGCCTGCCTATGCTTTTGCTGCTTCCAGAACTATCACCTCTTGTCAGGACTGAGATTCCACTGAAGCTGCTGGCTTTGGTTACAGCGGGTTTCAGGTTTCGAAGAGAGCTGTCTGAATCTGTGCTGCTCCAGGGTCGTGGTTCTGAGAACTTCAACTCATTCTCCGTGCTGCTTTGATGGCTATTTGTAGATCTCCCTGAAGCATCTTTATTAACTCTGTAATTTAGAAATAAAACTTTGAAAAGCTAATGCAAGGGAAAAAAAAGAATAAAAAAATGCTTTATGCCAGCTGGTCTCACAACAGGCATAATTTTTCAATACTGTATTAAAAACAAGCTTCCAATACCTAAATATCTGGCGCCTCTGCTGGGTACTACTGGCATCCTCATCTTGGAGTCTGTTGGTGTTTTAATAAGACATTTTAATTTTTATTAGCATCAGTCAGACAATTACCAAAACAGATGTTAAAAATTCCCTCACCTTTTGTCAATAATATAATTCTCTTGGGAACACAGGGACTAGAAAGAAAGAATAGATACAACAAGTTGAGCTTTTGTCAAATATATAATGCCATCTATAAACCAATGATGACAATAAAAATCATGAGTAGTAATGTAAGTTCAAAATGGTGATAAAGGTACACAAATAAATAATAATGGATTCTCTATTTTTCTGGTTTGGAGATCCTATGCTTACTTTTAACAAATATATATATATCCTGAAGCTATTCATTTGGTGGTTCAAATTAATTTGAAATTCAAATATTATCTTCCAAATAAGTGAACCCATTTTCATTATATATTCAAGGTATATATAGAATATGTATTCCACCTCATTCACTTAACAAATATTTGATCACCTGTGGTTTATCTATAGCTAGAGCAGTGAACAAGTAGTTATACTTTAATGGTGCAAGTCTTTCAGCACTGTAAACCTGGGTTAGGAATGACCATTTTTGTTTGTATGATTACAACAGTCTTCTAACTAGTTTTCCAGCTACCTTTTTTCCCCCTATTTTACATAACAGGAGCAATCTCTCCAAAATATCAATCTGATCATAACTCTTCTCACCTGAATGGCTCCCTGATGTTTTAGCACAAGTATCAGCAAACTATAGCCAGACACCTGTTTCTGCAAATAAGGGACACAGTCATGACCATTCGTTTATGTATTGTCTGTGGCTGCTTTCACATTTGAGTAGAAAAAAAATTCAGATTTGAGTAGTTGCAAAGAGTTGAGAAGACTCTGTGGCTCAAAATGCCTAAAAGAGCTATCATCTGACCTTTACAAAGAAAGTCTGCTGACCAAAAAAGAAAAAAGCCAAAAGTAAAACAAACCAACCAGCTCCCAAAAATGAAAAAACAACACCCAAAACCCTAGAAGTCCAACCACCTTAAACCTTCAGGGCCAAATAATCTCATTTCTGAATATTTTTCCAATCTAAACTTTCCTCACTTCCTGTATCACTCAGGCCAGAATGTGGCTACTCTGAATCTTCTTGTTGAGACAGGATCTCACTCTGTCACCCAGGTTGGAGTGCAGCAATGCCATCTTGGGTCACTGCAACCTCTACTTCTTGGGTACAGGAGATCCTCCTGTCTCAGTCTCCCAAGTAGTTGGAACTACAGATGTATACCACCATACCTGACTAATTTTTTGTAGTGATGGGGTTTTGCCATGTCGCTCAGGCTGTTCTTGAACTCCTGAGCTCAAGTATGCTCAGAGTGGTCTTGAACTCCTGAGCTCAAGTGATCCACCCACCTCGGCCTCCCACAGTGGTGAGATTACAGGTGTGAGCCACTGCACCTGGCCTACTCTTAAATCTTTCCATTCCTAACGTGTGTCAAGTTCTACCTTACCTCTGGGCCACTATAAATACTGACGCTCTACTTGAAATTCTTCACTTCTGTAAGGTTTCTTCTTGGAAGCTAACTCTCCCATCCCTTCCCCAGTTCTGGTTTGTGGTGCTTATCTGGTGTGTCACCTATTACATCTTCATGTCTCTATATAAACCACACACCATGTCACTGCTTGACGATTTATCAAGGGTAGAGACCTCATCTATCTTATAAACTAGAGACGATATTTAATATAGGCTTGGAGTTCAGCAGACCTGGTTGAAATGCCAACTCTGCCATTTTCTAGCTGTGTGATCTCTATTCTACTTAGCCTCCTGGAATCTCAGATTCCTTATCTGTAAAGTAAAAACGATGATAGCCCTAATCTACCATATAGGGTTGTTTTGGGGATAAATTATTATAACTGTCCATGAATATGTTCTACAGTGCCTAGGACAGCACTTATTACAGGTGCTCAATAAAATTTGTTGAATGAATGTTATAAGTTCTTAACTTACAGTCTGGATTTTAATGTTATTTAATCTTTTTTTAAACACAGAGGGAACTTCTATCTTTAGCAGATTAACACACATTACAGGAAAGATGCTTAACAGCTGTTGACAAAAAACAAACTGATTCTCTTCTGGCATATATGCATAAAACAATTAGCAATTTAGAAGGCCTATCTCGTATAATCACTTAAAAAGTAGAAAACAAATATTAACCTAAAAAAACCAATTAGCTTTATTTCAAAAGAAGAAATAAGTTATTTGTTAAAGAAAGTCTACTAACAAGTAGGCTCCAGGGTATATAATTTTGTAGACAGTAGACCAATACTCTATTAATAAAAATCTCAAGTCTGTCAGAAGTCAGACTGGGGGAAAAAAAAAAATCACACAAACTATATACGGTGGCCAACATTCTTTGAATGACTCCTGTAGTCCACCTGCTTCCAACTTCTGTAAAATTTTACATAACTACTGCAATGTAGTATTTATAAACTATTAAATTAATAACACAAGCAAAACTGATCTCAATATTTCTAAAAGATGACCTTATAAGCAACAAATGTGATTAAAAATAAATGTGATCAATAGATGAAAGGGAGACTAAGACCCTACAATGCAATTAGAATATATTCTAATATGAAGATCTAAATATGTTAGTACATACGTCTTGGGAAAATATTCGGTCTCTAGCTCTCTGGTATTCTTCTTCTCTTTCTTCTATAGATTTGCTTCTTCTGTCATCTTTCAAACGTATTCTCATCTACAGAAAAGAGGATACTTTTTAGCAAAATGAACTACTGGTATATAATATGTCTTGCACCTATAAAAATTCTACAATTGTTGAAGATTACCTGATTATCATCTTTGTCAAAGCTAGAGTTATCTCTCTTGAGGATATAACGTTTTTGAAAGTCTTCACTTTTATCATCCTTAATATGTTCATTAAATTTCTGATCAGGTCTTAAAAAAAAAAAGCAAAACAAAGGAACAAGAAAAGATAATGTATAATATCAGCAAAGAAGTTAAACATAACATTTTATAGAAGCAATAAAAGTTACTGCTTTTTAGGGCCATTCATAGATACTTATGCAATCTCACTTAGTCCACACAATAATCTCACAAGAAAAAACACTATTCCATGTATGGTTGAGAGGCCGTATCAAATACAATGTGGGCTCTGGAGTCAGAGTGCTTGGATTCAAAGATTGAGCTTTAGCACTTTAGCTGCTTTATGACTTGCACAAGTTACTTAAACTTTCTCTTTCCCAGTTTGTTTGTAAAATGGGTATAGTGTAGGTATAGTGTACCTATTTCTTAGGGTTGTTCTGAAGATGAAATGAGCATGTCAATAGCACATAAAACAGTAAACACTCAGAAGTTAGTTACTGTTATAAATACTATTGAGCAAACTGAGGTTCAAATGGCTTAAGCAACTGTGCAAGGTCAGAGGCAAGCATATGATTAAGCCATACTTGGAGCTTGGGTCAGTTAGACCCAAAGCCTGTATTGCCTCATCTAAATCTAAGAAAAAATGCTGGGACAAGGAAAGTACAGGATTGTATCTTATGCCACTCCTATGGTACCTAGTTTGGTGTTATACAACTGAAAGCAATAAAATATTCTGTCATTCAATTAGCTAAAAACTTAGAGACTACTTCAAAGTGCATCCATGAATTTTAAGTTATAGCAGGGCACAGCTTTGTTTAACATTGACTGTAACAGATTAGAAAAGAGAGGTTCTTTTATAGAGGTTAAAGTTGTGACCTAAGTAATGATTATGAAATCTTGGCAATATATTTTATAGTGGATTCATCCTTCTTCTACAGAAATATTGCAAGTTCCACTGTGACCTAGAGGACAAACAAAAGATTGTAGCCCTTGGAAAAATCACAATTACATAAAATTTCAGCTTCACAAATTAATTCAATCAATACTCTTGTGACTAAATATCATTCTATTATAAAAGTGGAATTATTCTTTTGAAATATAAAATATAAAAATATATTCAATGGCTCTAGAGAAAAATCTCATTGAACCCCTAGTTTTAATATACAGTTCAAGTATCTACTATATAGTCATATGATATATGTGAATAACCTAAGTAAATTTCAAATCCAAATATATCTGAGTAATGACATTTTCAGCAAACTTCCTTATTTATAGAGCCTACATGGACTTCTTTTTTTTTAAAAATTTTTATTTTTTTGAGACAGAGTCTTGCTCTGTCACCCAGGCTGGAGTGCTGTGGTGCGATCTTGGCTCATTGCAACCTCTGCCTCCTGGGTTCAAGCGGATTCTCCTATCACAGCCTCCTGAGTAAGTAGAATTACAGGCGGCTACCACCATGCCCAGCTAATTTTTTTTTTTTTGTATTTTAGTAGAGATGGGGTTTCACCATGTTGGCTAGGCTGGTCTTGCACTCCTGATCTCAAGGGATCCACCCGTCCCAGTCTTCCAAAGTGTTATGATTATAGGTGTGAGCCACCACACCCGGCCCTAGAACTGAAGTGACACTTCTGAACGCTTATTTTAATCTATGAATTTCTAATAAGGTATGTAAAAGCCTCCTGTCAAATTATGCAAAAGGAGATTAAAAGAATTATCTATCAAGTTAATAAAATTGCTATTGTAAAATACTTAGATGGGTAAAACAGAGAACAGATTCGTACAAAAATATATATATATAAGAAGAAGAAAAACAAAAAGAGGAAAAACAGCTTTGTGACCAAAATAATAAGAAAAAGACTGTTTTCTTCAAGGTTTTGAAAGATTTTTATTTAGTTCTGACAATGGCAGTATGTTATTTTTGTCACATGATTACCTCATTTACTCATGTCATCTATTTTTGTAACTGTTCAAAGTCACATTTGCTTATTCAAGGAGTTTATATTTGAATGAGAGGTTGCTATTTCAAAGTGAACTAGAAGATTTAACCAAGGGCCTGGCAACTTTTCTAAGGGCAGCTGGATTCCCACACCAATAGCACTGGCAGGCATTTCAGCTAACCTTAAGACTGTCTTACCTCATTCTTTAATAGGTGCCTGAATTTACTGCCCTGTAATCGCCAACTTCCCACTCCATTGAGACACCCCAGTGGACACTGGGTTGTTGACATCTGCACCACTGATTCAAGGCTGGAGCGGGTAATCTCCCTATGAGGAAAAGGTAAGTTTGTTTTTATTCAATGTGGAGCAGATCTCTAAGGTTTTCTGATTTACAACCTTCTTTATATCCCAGAAGATATAAAATAAGAATACAGTGTAACTTCAATGATCTGAAATGTCTGGTTATAATTATGTTATTGACCCATACTGCTTTAAGTATATTATAAACATCTCTATTGAGCCTAACTTTTGATTATCTTCAGAAAGAGAACCCTAAAGCTTTCTGGTATCATTCATAGAATTCAAATAACTGAGGTTACACTGTATTGAAAACCTTAGAGAGTCATCAGTCAAAATGTTAGTCAAAATGCCTGCTAATGTATATGTGCTTGGGTATCCAGCAGCTCTGAGTAATGTTGAGAGGTACTGGTTAAATGCATTATAGTTCTATTCACCTCTAGCTCAGCTCATAGCTTAATGGTTACTATCCTGCTGTAGTCATGATATAACTGATTGGAAAAAGACTAATTGAAAAGAATATTTTAAAAAGACTAAGGGATATGAAAATTTAAATTTTAATGAAAATTAAATCAGACTCACATTTTGGTAACATTTAATCCCTATAGAAAGAAAAGATCCCTGTCTAAACCCATCTATTTTCACTATATTGCATTAACCAACAGTCCTACTTTCTTAAGAACTGTGAGAGAAAAGGAGTAAATCTGGAGGCTTTTGGAAAGAATGGTAAACTGGCAGAAGATTAAATGTGAGGGTGTATAGGAACAATCATTTAAAAATACTAAATATATCTACTTAGTTGATAAAGACTATTTAAAATGGAAGAAAACCAATAGTTCCAGCAAGTGATATGGCAGCTATAAGGATAAAAGGCCATAAATCAGAAAAGGCATAGATGAATTAAATATAATCATGCAAATCAAATCACTCATAGATAAGAACCTGGGAGAAATCTTGCTACTGGAAAGACAGAAAACTAATGAATCAAAAAGGATTATTTATGCCATCTGAAGTTGACTGTTATTCATTACCACAGACTTGTTGCTGCCTCATATGAAACTGAAATTCCTTTTGATAGGCAAATTACCACCAAAATATAAATTTTAGCTGAACTCAGATAGTTGCTTTAGGATTAGCCTTATAAATAAGCAGAAGATGTAATGGACGAGCTGTGTATGTTTTATAACTTGGGTGCCTCTGCATTGGGTCTTCTGCTCCCAAATAACAGCAATGATGATTTACTTCAGCAACACTATAAAGCAATTAATTCTTAAAACGAAAGCTCCTCCTAACTCTTTAAAATTTTTCCTCAGTGAATCATACATAGCCCAGGAAGAAGACAGCACTATGGATGATATTGCATTAACCAACAGTCTCACTTTCCTAAGAATTGTGAGAGAAAAGGAGTAAATCTGGAGGCTTTTGGAAAGAATGGTAAACTGGCAGAAGATTAAATGTGAGGGTGTTAAGGACAGAGTCTGCTCTCTCTCTCTCTTTTTTTTTTTTTTCCAAATTTGACTAAGGTAGCTATCTAAATTAATTTAAAAAATTCCTAAGAGTAGTTGTCAGACATCACTGATATCATGTCCTCTGGGTTTTCATTTATTACCACATGCCCCATTCCTCATTCATAGACCTTATTTGATGTGTTTTGTTCCCAGTAAACTAAATGTGTTTTACAATCCTATCACAAGGTTATCATGAAACCTAATTAGACTGCTCTAACATGTGGAAAACCTCAGATGAAAGGTACTATAGAAAGATAAAGTATTATTGTTTAGATATATAATATGTAGTTACATCTCTTGACACTTACATTCTTGTATTGCTAGTTTTGTTTACTATGACAGACTTCCCACTCTGATCAACATTGTGGTCTAATCCAAAGTAAGCGGCTACTCTGTGTAATAGCATCCTATGGTAAGATGTCATTGGGGGGAATTTTTTACGTGGAGACCTAGAAGCACAAGAAAACCCAATTTAGTAAGTCAAGGAGAATGGTGATGACAATTTCTTTTCTTGTTAAATGTCAGGACTTACTCATTATTACCAATGAAATCTAAAATTTCCTGTTCCAATTTCAACAGCATCATTCTGTCCCTGAAACAAAATATGAAGACTCTTATATGTAAAACTTAGCAATAAAGTAATCACAAACATCAACAGGCTATGATTTATACAGCTAAATTTTACCCCTTAAAAACTATACATTCATGACTATCCCAATCTTGATGCTAGAATATTTATTAATGTTTTAAAACAGTAATGTTTTAAAACAATAAAAGATGATTTTTTTAGTTTAACTTTTTATTATGTAAGCGTTCACACATAAACTAATGTAGAGAATAGTGTAATGAATTTTGATGTACCCATCACCCAACTTTAACAATCATCAACATGTGACTATTCTTAAATTCATTTTTTTTGTTTATAAATAATGAAGGAACTTAAATGTATTTTGATCTACTAGGTATTACTATATTAGAGTTTGCTCTGTGAACGTATGGATAATAAGAGCATTTTAGTTTTAATTTTCTCATTCAATAAAATGGAGAGCAAACAGAAAAACAGACATCTTTAGTTAGGCTCATGGCTGTTATCATACTGAACACCATAGAAACAGTACTCGAAAGAACATGCAATGCCAGTAACAACAGGAATACTCCTATGGAAATCCAATAGGAGTATGTAGATGGGACTACAGCAAAGAAGTATTAATTATATCACTAACTCAGAAGAGGACATTTCAATCCATTCTATAAACTGCTATTACGTATTTTAAAATTTTCCCATAAAAATGTAAGTGAACCAAACACCTCCAACATATAAAATAAATAAGAACTCTAGGGAGTACCTGTATGTGCTCCTTTAGATCACTAGAGTCTTATTTAGTGCACTTAGGCTGCAGCAAATTAATGGTATCACTACCCAACGGACCTTCTTGCCCACACACCAAGAACATGGATCCAGATTTTTCCTGTGCTAATTGGAAATTTCACGTACATGTGAAAAAAAAAAAAAAGTAACTTACAGAACCTTAAAGCTAGAAGCAGCTTTACAAATCATTCAGTTTTGTCTTCCAAAATTTATAGATCAAGAAAATGAGGCCAAGAGATTAATGATTCCCTAAAATAGACACTATGCAGATTACTCAATTTTAACAGAGGAATTGGTAGCCCCTGATTTGGTCACCTTAAAGTCTACACACATCAGACCTGTGTTTGATTCTCCTCCTATATTGCAAAAGTTTCACAAAACTAAGTAATAACTTCCCCCTGCATCATTAAAATATTTAACTATACATTTTTATATTAGTTTAACAAAATCAAAAGAAAAACATGTCTATCTGGTGATTTTAAATCCCAAGCTGAACACATAACTACATTTTTACAAAAATTATAGCAATATTCAGTTTTGTCTCCAAACCTGCTTTTCCTTTAGTATTTCCCATTTCAGTAAGTGGTACCATCTTCTAGTCAGTATGATACTAGAAGCATGAGAAGTTTTTTGATTTTTTTTTTTTTTTTTTTTTGAGACAGAGTTTCTCTCTTGTTGCCCAGGCTGTAGTACAGTGGCTTGATCTCGGCTCACCACAATCTCTGCCTCCCGGGTTCAAGCGATTCTCCTGCCTCAGCCTCCCCAGTAGCTAGAATTACAGGCAGCCGCCACCATGCCTGGCTAATTTGCTATTTTTAGTAGAGACAGGGTTTCTCCATGTTGGTCAGGCTGCTCTGGAAGGTTTGTTTTTTTTTTAATCATCCTTTTCCAAATCCTCCTGTACAGTTAATTACTACTGCAAATTTTATCTACCTTTGATTTATTTTTCCACTGCCACAATCCTGGATCCAACTAATCAGGACTTTTGGCTTGAATACTGTAGCAGGAGTTTACTGTCTCCCTGTATCTTCTCTGATCTTTTCTAATCCATTCTACATTAAACATGCATAACAATCTTTTAAGAACACGTATGTGATCACGAATCACTCCCTTGGTTAAATCTATCACAGGTTTCTCACTGCTCTTAGAACTACACATATGTACAAGGCAGGCATGAACTGGTCTTTATCCAGCTCCGCTTCTTCTCCTGACCTGAACTCACGAAACTGTTATCATCCTGGTTTATTTCTATATTTGCCAAGCTCCTATCAGGTACCTTGAACATGATGTTGTTCCCCCTTTGGTGAAACACATTCTCATATTCTTTCTTGGAATCGTTTCTTTTATATTTTAACAGCATTTATCACAATTACTGTCATATAGTGCTTTGGACTACTTGTATATAAAAGGGTTCAACAAATATATTTTGTATGAAATAAGATAGTATCCAGAAGCACTTTTTAGCATTCTGTTTTTTTAAATTTGGGGGGAGGGTAAAGAATTTTTACTTCCTAAAGTTTTCCCAAAAAAAGGATTTATTTACTAAACTATAAGATCCTCTTTCATCCAAGTTTTATTTTCTTTCTGAGACAGTCTCACTGTTGCCTAGGCTGGAGTGCAGTGGTGCTATCTTAGCTTACTGCAACTTCCGCCACCTGGGCTCAAGTGATTCTCCTGTCTCACCCTCCAGAGTAGCTGGGGTTATAGGTGCGCACCATCATGCCCAGATAAATTTTATATTTTTAGTAGAGATGTAGTTTCACCATGTTGCCCAGGCTGGTCTTGAACTCCTGATCTCAAGTGATCTGCCCATCTTCGCCTCTTAAAGTGCTAGGATTACAGGCGTGAGCCACGGTGCACAGCCTCATCCAAGCTTTTGGGGTTAATTTATCTTGAGACAGTATTTTTAGTAACTTTTATATTTACATATTGCCTTATTGTAAAAAAATAAAGACGAGAATCAAAAGCAGGCAACTAGCCAGGTGCAGTGACTCATGCCTGTAATCCCAGCACTTTGAGAGGCAAAGACAGGTGGATCATCTGAGGTCGGGAGCTCGCGACCAGCCTGACTGACATGGAGAAATACCCGTCTCTACTAAAAATACAAAATTAGCCGGGCATGGTGATGCATGCCCGTAATCCCAGCTACTCGGGAGGCTGAGGCAAGAGAACCGCTTGAACCTGAGCGGCAAGGTTGTGGCGAGCCGAGATTACACCATTGCACTCCAGCCTGGACAACAAGAGCAAAACTCCGACTCATAAAAACAATAAAAAGCAGGCAACTTATTTGGAGTTCATAAAACAGTACATTTATATTGATTTTCCGTGTTTGAGCTAAACAGCAGGTATAAGATATTTTAACTGTCCTCCAGTGAATGTACTGCCACTGAAATTTCCACTATCTCCATGAAATAACATAAAATCTAACAATTTTACTAGCCATTGATACAAAGTTAAGCTTTCTCTCCCTTAATATGCAGATCTATAGATTGCAGAGGATTTTTAGATTATCTGGGCCACTTATTTTCTAAAAGATACATTGCTTTTAGTAGCACTTGCTAAAAAAAAAGACAACTTTCCTGAGGTCTTAAGATTTGCACCTTCTGCCTTTTATCTCATACTGTAGCTTATACAGGCTTTCAAATTTTCAAATCTGGAATTAAGGTTAGATACTTTTGTAATAGTGATAAGTTAAAGGTTACTAATCCTTTATAGGGGCCCTACATATTAGACTGAAACTAAGAGGTTTACAAATTACTTTCTTAAAGCATATTGATATTTAGTAGGTGAGCCAAAACCATCCAAAAGTAGGCACAAAGTAAAACTTCTATCATACAACCTTTAAAATGAACTGATACATGCTGTTAATTATTAAAGAATAAAAAAAGGTAATTAATAAACAACTACTAAAAGCTACAATGAAGGGCTAACAATCTTTCAGTTACTAGTGTTCTAGTCATTATTCCAGAAGTAATTTTGGAGAAAGAGGTAACAGCTGTTATACCAGTGGCAAATTTTAAAAAGCAGAAAAGAGTAATGCTTCTGTTTGACCACCTTCTACCCAATGTTTCATATGACCTTGGTCAAATCTCTGTAACAGGTAAGAAATAAAATGACTTAAACAATACCTCCAATAAAAACAACTTTTAGAAGATGTTACAAACAGCAAACAAATACATGATGTTCCCTAGAGCAAAACAAAATACTTAAAAAAAATCCATTGTCAGAATTAACCCATGGTACTGTTATCCTGTTAGTTACACAATACAGTTATCTGCACCATCCATATCTCTATATATAAATTTATACAATATGGCTAAAAGCAACACAAAAATAGGTATAAAATTATGTTAGTGAGTGAAATCTTTATTAACAACTCCTTCAGGTTCCTAGGTTCTAATTCATTAATGACTGTATTTAATAGGATAGCCTCTGAAAATATTGCAGACACCCAGAAATTGCAGCTAACTTATTAACACCTGAAATTTAGTTTATTTATTGGGCTATGAACAAGATAATGAAGATTTAATGATGTGAAAAAAAATTGTTAAATAAAAGTGATCCAAAATGGAAAGGTTGACTAAATTTTCGTATCATTAAAAATAAATCTGCTTAACATCTAGTAGAATTCTCCAGGCAATATTCAACCCCGAAAGCTCAGTGAGAATTTGCTTTACTTCTAACTAATTGTGTACCAGGTATATCTGGAAATTAGTTGCATGCTTCACTGAGAGAGAATACCGAGTCATTTATTCAGCAAACCTTATTTCTCACAAAATTTAACATTAGCTTCAACTTCCTAAACCCACAATGACATTAATAGTAACTTACACATTAGCTATTACATGCATTATTTACTTGTATATATATATATATTTTAAATTGAGATGTAATCTGGCTCTTGTTGCCCAGGCCAAGTGCAATGGTGTGATTTTGGCTCACAGCAACCTCCACCTCCCAGGTTCAAGTGATTCTCCTGCCTCAGCCTCCTGAGTAGCTGGAAATACAGGCATGCACCACCACACCCGGCCAATTTTTGTATTTTTAATAGAGATGGGGTTTCTCCACGTTGGTAAGGTTGGTCTCGAACTCTCAACCTCTGGTGATCCGTCTGCCTTGGCTTACCAAAGTGCTGGGATTACAGGTGTGAGCCACCACGCCCAGCCTCACATGTATATTTGCTCAAATAAAAATGCATACACAGAAGGAATAAAAAGCCTATACATGCTAAAATACTGATGAATCTTAAAAACATGCTAAGTGAATAAAAGTAAGTCATGAATGATGACATATTATATAATTTCATTCATATGAGATGTCCAGAACAGGGAAATCTACAGAAACAGAAAATATATTAGGGTTGGGATCATCTCTTATCAGTTTTACTATTATTACCATAGCATAGGAATAGCTACAATGCATGGGGTTTCTTTTGGGGGCAATAACAAAGTTCTAAAACTGTGGTGATAGTGCTTCTATCTGTATACTGAATATACTAAAAACCATTAAACTGTACAGCTAAAAAGTGTCGATGTGGATAACTTAAAAATGTTTGCATCAGCCGGGCACAGTGGCTCACGCCTGTAATCCCAACACTTTGGGAGGCTGAGGTGGGCGGAACACCTGAGGTCGGGAGTTCAAGACCAGCCTGACCAACATGGAGACATCCCCATCTGTACTAAAAATACAAAATTAGTTGAGTGTGGTGGCACATGCCTATAATCCCAGCTACTTGGGAGGCTGAGGCAGGAGAATTGCTTGAACCTGGGAGGTAGAGGTTGTGGTGAGCCGAGATCACGCCACTGCACTCCAGACCGGGCAACAACAACAAAATAAAAGTTTGCATCTATAGAGGAAAAATACACAATCAAAACATAATTTGGAATCCATAAAAATTTATATATAATCTTTTGCTCTTTGCTGATGTCTTTCCCACAGGTTTAGAGAGAAGAAAAAAATCTGCCTGTCTAGGATCTTGTTTTACTTACACTAGCTATGAATTTCCTACCTTACCACTTATTCCTCAACCCACTGAATTCTAGTTTCCACCATCCTATTCCAAATGTGAAATGACTTGTTAAAATAGCCAACAGCTTCTAATTTCGGAATCTAATGAATTATTTTTGGTACTTGTGTTGGAAAACCTCTTGAATCATGTTTTCTCTCTGTTCTCACACCAACATGACAATCAACACAGAAGACTTCCATGACCCCCAAAATGTGGAGATTTCTCTCCACCAGCAAGCACACAAGCAATTCTGCAGCGGACACCAGCTGGGTGTCCTCCAATTCACTTCTGACACTATATACCTGGAGACAGTGTCAGATCCTACAGTTTAGGAATCAGTCCCCGAGACCGCCCCACTTCAGACACCGATTGCAAATCTAGGCCTCTGGATCTACCAGCTTCAAGTTGGGGTTCCCATGACCCCTGCTTTGAATTCAATTAGTTTACTGGAGTGGATCACCGAACACTTATATTTGTTCATTTATTATAAACGATAAAGATGAAGAGATGCATACAAGGTAAGGGGAAGGGGCATGGAGCTTGCAAGCTTTTCCTGGGGCCTGCCATCCTCCAGGAACCTCCATGTATTCAGCTTTTGGAAGCTCTCTGAACCTGTCCTTTTGGGTTTTTATGAAGGCTTCATTATGTAGGCATGATTGTTAGTGGAGATCAACTTGACCTTTATCAATCTCCTCATCCAGGAGGTTGGAAGCAGGGGCTGAAGTCCCAACCCTCTAATCATGCCTTTCTCCTTCCAGGGACCAGCCCTATCCTAAAGCTCTGTCAACATTAGTATACAAAAAGACAGCTCTTTGGAGATTACAGGCATTTTAGTTGCACGCTAGGAAACAGGGACAGAGACCAAATTTATATATTTCACAATCTTACAATACTTCTATTTTCATATCCTTCTGTTATTTTATTTTAATTAATTAATTTATTTATTTGAGATGGAGCTTTGCTCTTGTTGTCCAGGCTAGAGTGCAACGGCCTGATGTCAGCTCACTGCAACCTCTGCCTTCCGGGTTCAAGCAATTCTCCCACTTCAGCCTCCCAAGTAGCTAGGATTACAGGCATGCGCCACCATGCCTGGCTAGTTTTTGTACTTTTAGTAGAGACGGGGTTTCACCATGTTAGTCAGGCTGGTCTTGAACTCCTGACCTCAGCTGATCCACCTGCCTTGGCCTCCTACAGTGCTGGGATAAACAGGCATGAACCCCTACGCTGTTATTTTCTGTGAAACTGTTTGCTTTTGGTTGAGTTCCAGGACAAATGTTTTCGGGATTCCTCGGCAATCTGTCTTTAGAGATGGGTTCCAGGCTGGAGGGCAGTGATGAGATCATACCTCAGTGCAGCTTCAACCTCCAGGGCTCCAGTAATCCTCCCACCTCAGCCTCCTGAGTAGCTGGGATTACAGGCATGTGCCACTGTGCCCCCGTGCCCTGTTTTTGCTATCTTTAGCACTTGGCCATTCTGTTCCAGTCTACTGTCCCCATTGCCTTTCCATATACAAATGATCATCAAGTCCTACCATAGTATTTTCTAAGTATCTTTCAAATGTACCTTTTCTTCTCCATTCTTCTCTATGGTCTCCTAGCCACTGTCTTTGTTCACAGTTATCTCTGCCAAAATAATCTTTCTAATACACCAAAGTAATCTTTCCAAAACACAAATCTCATTATGGCATGGCCCTATTTAAAATCCTGTAACTATTTCTTAACTTAGCATGCCATACTCAGTATTTCTTGATAGATGCACTAACGGCATTTCAAGACAATTTTTCATTGTTCATTGCTGTTTTATAGGTCTTTTTAGCATCCTTGGCTTCCCAATAGCATGCTGCACTCACTGCAACAATCAAAAGGTCCCCTCACATTTCCATACTGCCTTAGGGTACTGGTATTATTCTATGTTGAGGACAGTTGGATATGACCCATGTTTCATACCTCACCAGCCCCATTACTGTTACTGTCTAGAACAACCTGCCATACGCCTGTGACAGCCAGAGGGTACAATGTTATCCTTCCTTAGATATAACACTTCCTCTCACACAGCTATGCCTTGGCAATCCTCTAGTCTCTATCCGGAATGCCCTTCCCATGCTTCTCTGTATGGACAGCCCCAATTTAAAACACTTTTTTTTTTTTTTTTTTAAATAAAGAGGCCCAATCTTTTAAATTAATTAATTATTTATTTTTTAAAATTTTTATTTATTTATTTTTTAAGATGGGGTTTCACCATGATGGCCAGGCTGGTCTTGAACTCCTGACCTCAGGTGATCCACCCACCTCGGCCTCCCAAAGTGCTAGGATTATAGGCGTGAGCCAACACACCCGGCCAAAACACTCTTAATTCAAGATTCAACTTAGGCACTACCTTTGCAATGACACATTCTGGCCATCTTGACCCACACATTCTCAAATTCTTTCAGAGGTTGGGGCCCTTCTTTTGGTTATTAAATCACCTGTAAACCTCTTTTACATTTGTTCTATTTTCATTATCACGTCTGTTTCTAGTATACAGACAGTGAATACTGTAGGGTCAGACTTTTATCTCACTCCTTTTCATATCTACAGTGTTTAGCACAATGCTTGGCACATGGTTAGAGCTGTTCAACAGACTCATAAATTTATCTTTCTGTTGAGACTACTGAGGAATAAACTTGAACTGAAGGAAAAAAAGTCAAGCAGAGTTGCCTATCTTCTAACTCCATACCTATAATCCTTCAGCTCCTATTACAGAGACCACTTTCCTTTTTGGTAATTCTCTTTCACGTTGATATTAAATACAAAACAGAAAGTCAAGATAGTACTAAATACAATACATCTGAATAAAAACAGGTTATCTTGAAGCAAGGCTGTATAAGAGATGAACAACTCTCATATTTTCTATGGCCTATATCTAGTGACATTATTTTATTTTTACTTAAATGTATGTCAAATACCTACTACTATGGAAAGCTAACATTTAGAGGAAGATTTCTTCCCCTTGGTAACTTTCCTCGATGAAAGTATTGGTCAGATAATTTGTGGGTAGCCATTTTTGTACGGAGAATGCCTCAAAGTGGTTATGAGTTGTCAAAAAAGTTAAAAATTACTCATTTAGGGATCTGACAAAATTAAAGATTTCACAATTAAAGTACTGACTCAAATAAACACCTCAAAAATCTTTGGGTTGATGGCTTATAAACTCAGCAAAAAAGAACAAAAATTTTGCATTTAAAAAGTTCAAAAACTAATAATAAGTGAATACACTAAGTTCTTATTTGGTTGAATGCATTATGATGAGATATTTTTCTTTTTTCTCATGATTAATGGTATATAACTAACTAAATTAAGAGTCTAAATATCTTAGTGATTCTGTGTTTCCCAAAATTCGTACATCATGGTAACATGCAAAATGCAAAAAGATGCATATACTAGACCAACATCTTTGCCCTGAAAAACTAAAATGTTTTTGGTGTTACTTCAAATATCTGCAGTCTTACTCTAATACTCTAACTCAATAATGAAAACATATATAGCAAAATTATGGCACTCTAGAAGCAATGGAAACCTTATAAATTTAATTTTTACCTGGGATTGTTTTTTAATGTATTTACTAAAAATTCATGTAGATCTATGCCAGTTGAATCAGTGTATTCTTGACTGGAATCTAAAAAACAACAACACAAAAACCCAGTATAAAGTTGTTTGAAAACAAATCCCATTCCCTTTTACATATGATGTATATCTTATATAAAACAAGATGCCCCACATTGAAAAAAATGACAAAGTAGGAAAAGTTACAATGGACTCACATGACAATTTTTCTATTCAGATCTAATGTGCATGACAAGAGTTTATATAACTGCATGTCCATGTACATTCTTAAAAAAATTAACCTCTCATATATGTCTATTTAATTTCCTCTAAATTCTTTAAAGATTCTTTTATATACTCACCACATCTTCATGTTTAAAATGCCTCCATGGGTAAAATATTTAAATGATTTACATAATTAACTACATTTGTAGCAAATTAAGACAGCTTAGTTCAGATATGAATACAAATGGAGGCAATAATTTGGAGGTAGATAGAATTTTTAAATGTAAAAGAATTTTAGATTTTTATCAGGTCTATTAAAAAATGGCTTGCTTTCAAAATACTTTCAAATATTCATGCTATCTTCTCCTTAAATATAATAATATCCTTATACTATTTATAGTACTGGCCAAGGTGACTGAGTTTTTAAATTTAAAAAGCATTTCTATTGATCTGCAGTCTGCAATGTTAGATTATAGTGAAGATCCTCCAAAATTAAGAAAAATAAACATTCTGTTTCCAAGAATATTCTTACTGGATACACTTACTCATTATGGCATCAGCTCTTTGTATCGTAAGGAATTAAAGAGTGATAATATCCTTAGTGGAATCAATATATAAATTATAATGACTCTAGTATTTTACTATGAGTGAGGGACCAGTAAGAGTTAAGATGCTTCCCTTCCTCAATGTCTGTTATGTGTTGCAAATTTTGGCTGAAATGTCTTACTGATATATAAAATTGTGTTCAACAATTTTGCCCAGATATCATCCTTCCATTCTGTTCTGTATCATTTTACATAAAGATATATTACATATAATTATTCGAGAGGTAAAGGATGGAATGACTAATAGCAAAATTATTTAAAAAAAAAAAAAAAAAAAAAAAAGAACTGCAAACCTCTTGATAACATTTTTCTGGGCAACTTATCACTGGCCTTTTCTTTTCCTGCTTCATCTTTTGAGGGCCTCTCTTCTTTCTCAAATGATTGTGTTAACTGGATCTGAATTTTCTCCTGTTGGAAAGCAAAGTCAGTTATTCAATGAAAACACAACATAATTCATTTAATAACACACATTTTTATTTTTTGAGTAACACAAAATTGTACAGAGCAAAAAGATTATTTTACCAAACTGGAATCTTCAAACTCAAAAACAACTTAAAAATACCACTTTTATCAAATACTTTATATAAAATGTTAAAACTTAGTGTTCTGAGTTGAATATACCAATTAAAACATATTCTCAAGATTATTTTAGAGAAACTAATTATTTCCTATTATAGTTTAAGTGCATCAACTTGTAAAATCCCTGGAGGATGAGAACTCGGGTCTTCTTAACCTACTTTTGCAATGAAGATGCCAAGCAAAAGCAATAATTATCATCAAGCGGGACAATACAAATGTGTAAGAGTCAAGGCAATGATTAATAAAAATTAGGTTTCTGAGTAGCCTTTATAATCACACACTCCTTTGTTCTCCATGTAAAAATGTAAGTACAAAAATTTCCAAAATAAACAGCACACTTTATTTCATTTTTGAGATTCATATATCACTGTTAATCCTTCAATCACCACAAAGTTGTTTAGAAAGATTTCAAACAAGACCGTATCCTTACAGATATGTAATGTTTAACTGTAAAGTAACCACATTCTATAAGGCTGAAATGGAGAACTAATTCACATTTTATTTTAGAAGCAATGTCATTACATGCAATTCCAGAACCCAAAGGGATTACTAGAAATTAATCCACACAGACAGAAAAAGTAAAATTCATGTATGTCTGTTTACTTAGGTAAAGTTACAAAGAAAGCTATAATAAATTCTACATCAGTTTTACTAAAGAAAAGGTGTAGCCTATTTTTAGACTAAATTATACTGTTGTTCTATAGTCATGAAAACCATCAATCAGACACATAGATTTTTTTTTTTACCCCAATAGGACTACTACCTGCTGTTTTCATCTCTTATTACATCATATCAGTTCAAATTTGTGTTCATAATATAGGGCAAATGATGCACAATGGCAGTTTTCACTAAGATGACAAACATTTGCTTTATGACTCTCTCTGTCTTGTTTACCAAAGACATTAGAAAATTCCTTACAGTCATTAATCAGTAAGTAATTTTTCTTATTGTGATTCATTTTCCAACCTACTTTATTTACTCTTTTTTTTTTTAACTGTAAAACAGGTATCTAGAAATGAATCCCAGAACTATTTTTCAGAAGTATAATATTTAGTTTTCCTGACTTCTATCTTCTATTCTGGTTACCCAAGAGGAACCCAATGAAATCCAGGCTGGGAGAAGAGATTTCACACTACCTCCTCTTCGATCTTCACTAAATGGCACTTCCAGTGAGTAGCAGATTTCATTTCTAAGCTCTCCTCAAAAAGCTATATATATATTTTTTTGAGACGGAGTTTCGTTCTTGTTACCCAGGCTGGAGTGCAATGGCATGATCTCGGCTCACCGCAACCTCCGCCTCCTGGGTTCAAGCAATTCTCCTGCCTCAGCCTCCTGAGTAGCTGGGACTACAGGCGCACGCCACCATGCCCACCTAATTTTTGTATTTTTAGTAGAGACGGGGTTTCACCTTGTTGACCAGGATGGTCTCGATCTCTTGACCTCGTGATCCACCCGCCTCGGCCTCCCAAAGTGCTGGGATTAAAGGTGTGAGCCAACGTGCCCGGCCAGCTATATGTTTTAATTACAGATATTAAACTATTTTATCAAAAGGAATTATATTTTTAAAATCTTGTAGTCTTAATGTGCTGAGGTCTTGTCTTCAGTTGGCCTAGTTTTCAGTAGTGAATAGACAAGATACATTTTAAATGCTGATGTCCTTATATACAAAATCTTCTGACTATAAATAACTGGAATAATAGCTACCTCTCCATAGGAAGCTGCTTTTCCTTTACTATTCACTCTGTCATTGACATCTGTCATTGAGGTCACTTCCTACTCACAAGCTCTCATTAGATACAAGTGACATCTCTCTCTTAATTGCCTCTCCACTTTTTGAATAATGAATTTTATTCCAGATTAATTCCTCAAAAATCACATTCTGAATCAAGCAAATTAGTTGGAAAGGGTGTCTACCATCAAGGATTAGATACTAGCACATTTCATGAGAAATAATTTATTTTCCAATTTCCACTCAGGTGCAATTTAATTATCTCAAGGTTTGGAAAAAGACTTCCTATTAAAAGAAGTATCTTTTATTCAGAGGATTTTATTCATAGACTATTATCCAAAAAGAAAAAGTTTGCTGTATCTAAGAGAAACTGAGAAAGAATATATGATGGGGAAATAACTGAATTGTGACATAGCTCCTTTTATTATCCATATGTCATAACTCATCTTTTTGAACTGTAAACACAAGAAATTATCTATAATCAATAATGTATGTATCAATACACAACATATATTCCTGTTATTTTTTTCCTCATATAAATTTTAACTAGCCAATTTAGTACCATAACAGTTTCTCCCTGAACATTTTTAAAATAGGTAAAATGCACTAGAAAAAACAAAGGTCATCCTTGACTGTTATGAGGCTAAGATGGTATAAAATCTGTTTTTTGGTCAACAAAACAAATAAATGGATTTTCGAAAACATTACAGTGCCTACTACTCCATCTCAAACAGGTGTATTCTTTACTCTAACTTGTACAAAAGAACTTTTTTTTTTTTCTTTTTTGAGACAGAGTTTTGCTCTTGTCACACAGGCTGGAGTGGAATGGCACAATTTCGGCTCACTGCCATCTCCACCTCCCAGGTTCAAGAGGTTCTCCTGCCTCAGCCTCCTGAGTAGCCAGGCATGCACCACCACACACACTAATTTTTGTAATTTTAGTAGAGACAGGGTTTTACCATGTTGGCCAAACTGCTCAAACTCCTGACCTCAGGTGATCTACCTGCCTCGGCATCCCAAAGTGCTGGGATTATATCCGTGAGCCACGGTGCCCGGCTAAAAGAACTTTTTAAAAGTGCTGTTTCAAAAAACAATTTTACTGATTTTTTTTTTTCAGATTGTATTATAGTTCTTCAGTCTTTTCACAACCATGCAAAACCCGAAGGTTAGTATTTGAAAATGTTCTCTAAGCAAGGATTTAGTAAATACTTTGATTGTATTTCTGCTTTTTGCTAGAAAGTCTATTTTATTGCTAAAATATATCTATTTTATCAAACATGCATACAGCTATCTCCCATGTAGCTACATTAAAAAAAAATCACAAATTAATTTTCAGCCCTATGTTTCTGACGCAAAGAAATGTCAAAGCAAACAGATTTTTAAGTACATTTCATTGACAACAATCTATTTCAAAACATTTTCCTTGCATTTTTGAAGCAATAAAAAATGTAGTGCTTTTTAAAAACGGTACAATTCTAAATATGTGACAATTATTCTCAATATCTGTAATAGGCTTTCGAGGGTATCATGTAAATCAAGGGAAAGTATAAAAGTTTTAGTTTGAATCACCAAATGTATAATGATATTTGCTTTATAAAAAAGATGTACATGTCATGGATCAGTCATGGCTTCTTAAATAACCACAATATTCCCTGAATTCCTTGGAAACTGTTTGTTGGGACATAGAAGCATTTTAAGTTGCTCAAACTCTTCTTAAGTAGAACAAGCCACTAGGCAAAGTTATCACATGATAAACATTGGTAAAGGGTCCAAAAATATTTATGCGAAAATATACAGATGTAACACAAGACAGAGATCAACCCATAGCTGAGATTAACAGAAAAGTAAACATAGCATTAAAAAGAATATAAGAGGCAAAGTAAATGGTTTGCCTAAACTTCATTGTTCTAAATTTTACAAGAATAGACGTGAGAAATTAGAAGTACTAGGTAATTATTGAAGAGCCAAAGTAATATGAAAATTGGCTTCACCATGCATTCAAGTTACATTAAATAACCTATCAAGAAGAAGTCTTGGGTAGTCTCTTTGCATACAAGCATTAAGTATTTGAAAAATTTCTAAAAGGTAAAACTAAAACAGCAAATTTCATCACAATTATATTTCACTGGATGTGCTACCTTAATATTTTTTAACTTTACAAAAATAATTTATAACTCTCTTAAAGCCACATTCCTAATTAACTGCATGATTCCTAAGTTTTTCAAGAAGAGAAATCATTGCTCAAAGCCTTAGATTGAAGCAAAGAGTTTTTCTAACTTATCATGTGTATTTTGGGTGCCAAGTATTATTGAATCAGTTTCATTCAGGAAAAATAAAACAAACGTTAACAAACACTAACTTAATTTAATCATAAAAAAAATTTCTCCAGTTCCACCATGTCTTGAAATAACATTTGTTTTGCTTTTTTTTTTTTTTTTTTTTTTTTACCTGGTTCTCCTGTGATATCTCTGCTGCAGGGGGTGGTGGTGATTCTTCACACACTGCAAGGCTCCGAACTAGCTTTAACTTTGAGCTTGACTAAAGAGAAGTATTTATAATTAACACTACATTTCAGAAATCTAGGGCATATCCAAAAGCCCCCTAGAAAGAGTTTCTAAGTTTCTTTATAAATAGTTTCTGCCATGTATAACAGTAGATGAAATGTGCAAGTTAAATATATCATTAATCACTACTAAAGGCCTTTGTTAAGAAGGAAAACAAACAATTGCAGTTTTGAAAATTATAGCAATAGAAACAATGAGAATAATTCCAACTTCATATCCCAAAGAATGGTGAGAAAGCGATTTTCTCTACAGATAAAGAACCATCAAGATAAAAAAGCAATGCACAAAAGCGACTAGGCAAGACAAAAACCCCAAATAAAACAAAATAAGCTTTCTGCCCCCCCAAAAAATATGAAAGAACTAAACTGAATGTAGTGCTATATGAAAACAAGGATTCATCAAGCATGAAGGAAGGCCCTTGGCATGCCAGCACACCAAAATATTTACTATACCTTAGACCTTTTTCCTGTCTGTCCAAATGACTGCAATGGCCGCTGAATATACAAGAAAGATTTGTATTAAATTTCATACTGAAACAGAAAATTTGCTTCTTAATTCATACTCCTAAACCACAGAAAAACTAACTGCACATAAAGTATGAAAAATGAGGAAATCAAAGTTGGTTTCAGTGAAAGAGTACTGATTCCTCCCAGAAGCACACTTGCAGAAGAATCTTTAAATCCTGGTAGGTTGGCATTTTTCTTTATTTTTTCTTTCTTAGGCATTTTTCTTTAAATCAGCAGAAGGCCACAATTTTTGTGTTAATTGTGTATAATGACATTTATATGGTGACTTCTTAGTAGTGAAATAAAATATACTTCATTATTTTACAACATATTATAGTTTAGGCAAGGTTAGGGAAGAGCAACACACAAAAATCAGCAGTTTAAGGTAGATAAACTCAGAAAATTTTTCAACTTAATGAGAATGTTTCAAATGCACAGTGAGTTAGAGTCCAACTACAAATCTACTGAGCCATTTCAACACTGTATGAAGTATACCATCAGTTTATTAGTGACAGAAACCTATTCATTAGGTCCGAGGTGAAGCAATGAAGCAGAAAGGAAGAAAAAAGGGCAGATTTCCAATATGAAGGTCCAGATGACTGGCAGACCGACCATCAGTCACAAGACTGGGGAACCTGGTAAGGCAAGCTAACTCAAGTATGTGATACAAGCTTTGGTTTGGGAAACCAGCTGAAGCACCTGTCAATCAGAGCCAGATAGGTTTTAAACATTCTTTCCTTCTACTTCCTTCCAATTTTCCTCTTCAAACCCAACCCCAAATAGTACAGGGCCCAGGTATCTACCATTTTTATTTCTTAACATCAGGGACCCAGTCTGATACCAAACGTAAAACAGATATAAAATCCTTAATATCCAGACTAGTATGCTTTACATTAAAAAAAAAAATTTCTGCTGAAAAAAAAAAGGCCACCATTTTACTTCAAAAAGGCCTTCCTTGTAGAGTCAGCAGAAATAAGAGTCTATAGTACCAGTATGTCCTGCCCTCATTTTGAGCCAAAGTTCTTCAAAATGAAAAAGGCCTGTATTCTTGGGATTTTAATCCTGGATTACACAAGCTACAGAATAATAACAAAAGGAAAACAGAAAAAATAAAAGAAAATGACTTTCTCTTTCTTATACAGAAGAAAATAGTATGTGTACGCACAAATACACATGGCAGTGCTGCCTAAGAGGGCTTCTGCATGTTGGTATTGTCTTCTGTTTCTATCTACTTTCTAATTTGCTCAAGAGGATTTCTAATTGCCTGTAACTCACATCTAACAACAGAAGTAAAATAAGTTGTGCTACCATCTAGTCTAGGTGGTAGATGCCACCATCTAGGGCCCACAGGAAAAAAAAGTGGGAGAAAAGCAACAGTGAATACTATGAAAATGCACATAACTAAATGAGTCCTGAGGAAGCAGAAGGGAAAAGAGTTTCTGACTTACTCCCAGTCTTCTGCTTTATCTCTTGTAATTTTAAGTATTACTGGTATAAAATCTTCTATTAAAAATCTCTAAAATGAAAGGGGTCATTAACTGGCAATGTAAATGCTGTATTCATATACAGAAGAGCTGGACTTAAATTTTTGAATTTGCTTCTTATTAGTGGGTAATCATGGTCAAATTACTTCAGTTTACTTTAATCTGTCTAAAAGTTTTCATACTATTTGCACTAATTCACAGGGTTCTTGAAAGGATTCAATGAAAGCGTAGATAAAAAAGGGACTTTGAAAACTCTAAAATGCAAATAAATGTAATTGATTATTAAAGGTTAGGAACTGACCATGTCAGAAAACCAATGTGCTTCCTCTACTTATTAGCAATGAGATTAAATTACTTAATCTAATAAATGCTAATTTTAAAAAGTGTATAAAATGGGGATGCTCTCTATTTCCCTATCATAATGGTTAAGAGCATTCATAGACTTACACATGTATTAACTATCTCACTTTTAATCTACAAGGAGACTTTGACAAAGATGAGGAAAAGATAAAGGAAGATACAGAGAAGTAAAATTATCTTAATTTGACTTCATTTAACAAACATGTTTTAGGTTCCTGTTCTATACCAGACACTGTGCTAGGCACGAGGGCTATGAAGATGAGTAAGACACAGTTCCTGGTCTTAAAGACCTCACAGTCCAGAATCAGCTACTAGTCAAACAGAACCCTAGATCTTTAGAAGCTTAGTCCAGTGCATTTAATATCTATTAAAAAAACTTTATTGTGGATTAAATTCTACTTGAGGTAGACAGAATTCTAAAGATGGCCCCCAAGATTCCCATTCGCTGCTTATTCAATCAAACACAAATCTAGGTACTGCAGAGGAAGGATTTTGCTTTTTTTTGGAGACTCAGTCTCACTCTATTGTTCAGGCTGGAGTGCAGTGGTGTGATCTCGGCTCACTGCAACCTCCGCCTCCCAAGTTCAAGTGATTAGTCTGCCTCAGCCTCCAGAGTGGCTGGGATTACAGGCATTCATGCACGGCTAATTTTTGTATTTTTAGTAGAGACAGAGTTTCCCTATATCGGCCAGGCTGGTCTCAAACTCCTGACCTTAAATGAGCAGCTCCCTTGGTCTCCCAAAGTGATCGAATTACACATGTGAACTACTGTGCCCTGGTGGATTTTGCATTTGTTAACTAAGCTCCAAGCTAGCTGATCTTAAGATACAATTTAAGATTCAGGTGAGTCTAATTCAATAAAAGCTGAGACTTTTCTCTGGTGGGAGCATAGGAGCAAGTCAGAGAGATTTAAAGCATGAGAAGGACTTGACATATTATTGATGCTTTCAAGATGGACGGGCCATGTAAAGAGGACTATGAGCAGCCTCTTGGAACAGAGTGGCCTTTACTGACAACTAGCCAAAAAACAGGACCTCAGACCTGCATACAGTTTTGGGCCCACTGTGACCTGATAATGAGTGTTGTCTTTAAAGCCTCTATGGTTGTGGTCATTTTTATGCAGCAATAGAAAACTAATATACTACTATATAAGTAAACTATAAATTGCCAATAGCATTATTCAATAACATAATTTCAATTTCCTTTCAAATAGTGAAGAACTGATATTATATGTACTAGAAAATGCACACAACAAAGCAGAGAAAACAAGTTGTTTATTAAAGTAAACAGACTTTATTTCATATTTTTATAATCCATTTGACAGTCAGATTTGGCTTTAAATAGGAATTCTATTTGATATGTAATTATTTAAAAAATGGATTTTATTATTTAGAGCACACTTTTCACCCTTAGCAGAATTTCACTGTCACAGTAAAAATTTAGCAGCTTGTTTAATAGACATGTATTAGTCCATAGAAATGCCTTAAATTAGAATTTACAAGGCTTAGGGACAAAATCCCCAATTTATAATTTACATTGTTTTATACTGAAGTATAAGACAGGAACTAGGCCAAAAAAATGGGTGCAGAATATGAAACATCCTTAACAGAATTTCAGTTTGAAATTGATACTAGTAAGTCGTCAGAACTATCAGCTACTAGAATTTGGAGAACTGAGAAAAACAGAGCAATCCTAATTAGTTATATATGTACTGGCACAAAAATACCAATTAAATATCACTCAACTAACAAAATCTGACATTTGAAAAATAGGGATAATTTTCTCTTTGTAATTAATAATTGTTAGGAAGAAAAATTTAATGGTTACACCCTTTCAACCAGACTCAATACACCTTGAAGAGCTTACAAATTCTTGGTACTTTTCTAGGTAACAGTAAAGATTAATGGGAATTATAAGGAAGACAATTAAAATGTTCCATGTCTAGTTAAGATCAGGGGAGTAAAAACAATGGATGCCAGGATGCCAATTTCTACTGGAATAAAAGATACGAAGTTCTCTGAGGCAGGAGAGCTATTTTAAAAATCAATAAACCAATAAACCAAATACAATCACAATTTATTTTTAACATTTAACCTTTTGAGCCATAAAGCACAGAGTTAAATATTCAAAGGCCTGACTCTTAGACTCTAATGAAAAGTCCATGGAGAAAGTCACAAACTAACTGGTTTAGTGTTATGCCATATAATAAATGAAGATCAAGGATCATCCCATCCTACTGGTGATGTACATGAAAATTATCCAAAGAAGTACAAACAATAAGTATGCAAAAGCATTTCTACATCTACAAGATGTAGCAAACATCTTTACACATCCCAAGAAAGCACCATGAAAAGTAAATGTGCTTACAAGTGCTACCATATGCACCTATGATACAAGTTCAGTAGAAAGAGTACCAAATCCTAGAATTATAAAAATAAAGCATACTATGGAAAATGTATTGTAAGTTTTAAAAAGTTGAACTCATTCAATATGAATAAAAAACAATAAAAATACAGCATACAGTTACAGAATTTAATAGAAATAAACAAAACCACTGGTACTGAAAATGTGGGAAGGCTATGGTAAGTTTTACTCTTTATTACTAAAGAAAAATCTATCTTGCAAGACAATAAAGGTACAAATTTGAGAAGCCATATAATCGTGCTACTGTTAATAAATAGTAACAATTATAATAATGATTATAACACTGTTAATACCACCTACAGCTTGTCAGGCTTTTTGAACTAGGTATAATACAGATATCTTTTTTTTTTCTGAGACAGAGTCTCACTCTGTCACCCAGGGTGGAGTGCAGTGGTGCAATCACAGCTCACTGCAGTCTTGACCTGGGCTCAGGTGATCCTTCCACCTCAGCCTCCTGAGTAGCCACCATGCCTGACTAATTTTTTGTAGAGATGGGATTTGCCATGTTGCCCCAGCTGGTCTCACACTCCTGGACTCAAGCACTCTGCTTGCCTCGGCCTCCCAAAGTGCTGAGATTACAGGCGCGAACTAATGTGCCTGGCCATACTTTTTATTTATTATTATTATTTTTTTAAGGAACAGGTCTTACTCTGTTACCCAGGCTAGAATGCACTGGTGCAATCCTAATTCACTGCAACCTCAAATTCCTGGGCTCAAGTCATACCCCCACCTCAGCCTCCCAAGCAACTAGAACTACAGTCATATACTGTGACGCCTGGCTAATTTTTTGTTTCTATTTTTTGTAGAGACAAAGTCTTCCTGTGTTGTCCAGGCTGGTCTAAAAATCCTGGGCTCAAGCAACCCTCCTGCCTCAGCCTCCCAAAGCACTGGCATGAGCCACCATACTTGGCCACACACATCCTTTTAATCTTTCTTTGACAAGCAGGAAAACAGCTAAGGTTATTATTTGAATTATTTTATATAAAGAGACTTTTATTCAGTCCTTTAAAAAAACACTTCATTTCTTAACAGATTAATGAAATAATTATTTCATCAATACTTTCCTAGCAAATTAGGGAATTTGTTATTTACTGCCCTCATTGTGGAAGAAGTGTGGCCTTCTGTTCCGAGCTTTTCTGACAGCCTTATTAGATTCACTGCTTTCTTGCCCCTTATCTTCCCTAGACCCTTTTTAAAGAAATGCATTGGAATTAACTTGAGGAATACAAGACATAAGAGTCTCATCTTAATTATCAAAGGGCTTACTACTGAAACAGAATATATAAAATATGTATTTTAGCCAACTCTCAGTGTGGAAAATTCACTCATATATGTCAGAGCTATTCATTGACTGGCACACATGGCCTTGTTTACCAATACAACTTGGATTGGCTATCCTATTGTTAATAATAATGAAGGGGGAGAGGCATTGTTTGAACTGTTCCCAAATATGTTTTGAATTGTGTGCATATACACATGTATATAGATGAACACCCCTGGACAAACCATTTGTTAAGTACAAAGATACAACTGTAAAAGAATGGGAAAGTTGAGTTTGAACCTTTAATAAGCAGAGCACAGGGTTCTTAATTTTATATTTCAAATGACTGCAAAAATCAATACAAATATAATTTATCCTAAGTTTATTATTAAAAAAAAATTTTTTTTTTTAGACAGGGTCTCACTCTGTCACCCAGGCTGGAGTGGAACAACACAATTTCAGCTCACTGCAACCTCGATCTCCCAGGCTCAAGCAATCCTCCTCGCTCAGTCTCCCGAGCAGCTGGGACTACAGGTGCATGCCATCACACCCAACTAGTTTTTGTATTTTTTTTTTTTTTGGTAGAGACAGGGTTTCGCCATGTTGCCCAGGCTGGTCTGAAATTCCTGAGATCTGCCTGCCTCAGCCTTTCCCAAAGTGCTGGGATTACAGTCATGTGCCACTGCACCAGGCCAATTTACTCTAAATTTAATCTGAAAAACCTATCCGTGAAGAAAATCAAACAATGGAGACCACATCAGTGAGTTATACACAGGAAATCAAAGTAAACAGTTCCCACCATCCACTTAACCCATGTTAAAGATTAGGGATACTTGTAGTCTAACAAAATACATTTTTCTGGATTTAGAAACCTGGCACCCACCACCCCAACCTTCTAAATGTTTCATAAAAATGTAAAGTCCAAAATGTACCTCCACATTCTCAATAGAAACAGTGTGTGGCAGTAGAAAAATTACTGACCAAAAACCTGTCAGGTAACTGAGGCCATAATCAACAATTCAGAAAAACCCCAAGACAACTATGCGGAAAAGTTAACTTCCTGACATTAATGCACACAAATTTCTTGAATTAGCTCTGAAGTATTAAGAAATTCTTACGAAAGTAATCCTAAAACTTCTATAAAAGATCACAGTCCAAAACAAAACCCTGAATAAAAAACATGTATTTTTTAAAAGTAGAAAGAGAAAACTGGTAAAAGCAGAAAGAAAACACAAGTAGAATTATTTATAAATTAAATGGTCAAAGAGCTCTTTGAGATAATCTCTGCTTGGAACCACCTGAGATGACATATCATGTCTGTTCGTCTCTCTCTAGTTTGATGAAATTATTTTTTATGTAAATACTGTCCTTAACACAAAGAAAATCATAAGGTTTCTACATAGTACAAAAGAGGCTATAATATCCCTTAACTGAAAATAACTTCACTCAAAATGTATACATTAGATGTTCAGTTTTTTATATAAATGAATGAAATGAATGCTTCTTTGGAAGGGAAACATTTCTGTTTCCTTTAATCACTCTAAATATTACTATGCTAAAGCAAGATAACAGACATAAGTTATAATATTCATGGTAGCTGATTTTCAGAATGAGAACAAAGTAGAGAATATCTTACTACTTTATTGGAATAAAGTAACAGTTTATTCAAAAATCTCAATAGAAACCCTATATTATTTGCTACATACAACCAAACTTATGAGTGAAAATAGCAACTGCCATTTAAGATGACAATCTTTAGGTAGTATCTTAGAGGAAAGATGAGACATCTGGTAGTATGTTAGAATAGTTAACTCCACATTAAGTTAAAAGTAAATCTGTAGTAACCAGACTTTTTAAAAGAAAACACTTATTTCCTGTTGATGCATAAAACAGTTGACTTTGTTTTACAATATTTCAAATGAAAACACAGAACAGGCCTATTTTCCAGTTTTATCTCCTTTAAATTCCCAATTTCCATAATTAAATCTGTTCTATAAGAGGTATTTCAACTGTACCCCCCTTGCCAGCCACCTTGGATGAAAGCATCTTGGACCTCAAAAGCTTGAAGCCGAGTCAATATTCATACATGTAGTAAATTATAAATAAATAAATAAAATGAATATGGCATTCACCGGATTAACATAAAATGAGTTCTCACATTCTAATTTTTCCTCTTTCCCAATCGTTAGAGTCACTATGCTATAGGAAACAAGAGGTCAAGACCATACCCATGTTTGTTTACTATGGTATTTCCTTGGTAAAGAACAGACTTTCAATAAATGATTTGAAGAATGTGGAAAATTTTCTTATACTACAAATAACTGGGCCATGATGTGAAAGTGGTCATCAGAATGTTCTTGTGGCTTACTGTCAAAGGCAACACAACACATATGGTAGGAAATGCAATAATCCCAGTTAATGACTTGTTGATAAGCATGATCTAGGAGACGAAACATTAAGTGTAGAAAAGAGGCTAAAATGAAATATTTTATTATTTCAATCACAAATGCAATAGAACTTTAGCAGATTTTCCCTGATGCAATCAGGACACTGGCATACTGCCATCACTGAGTGTACTGATTACAAGCAGGGCAATTTTTTGTTGTTTGAAAAAGTGCTATTACTTTTAAAAATGACTGGGAAAAAATATGTTATTCCTTCCAATTTCTGAGATAATTCACACTTGACTATAATCAGTGGGGCCTAAATGCTTTTTTATAGCTGGAGGAATTGCTATTATTGTCTAACATGGTGTCTGATATATAATAGGGAAAAAAGAAAGTTTTTGACATAACAAAAGAATGAGATAACCTTTAAAAACAAGTTTCTTTAAAAAAGTGAAGCTAAAAAGTATAATAAAAAAAAAAAAGCAAAGCTGTAATTTTTGGCTTATAGCCTTCAGTCTTCAGGATATAGAAATAATGCTAGAATATTTTCTCCAAAAATATAATTTTTTAATTGCAAAGCAAAACTAAAACATTACTGTTAAACAATGTTTTTGAATAACTTTTTGTGGTAGATTAAAGGTAACTATAAATTCTTTCCTACTGAGAGATAGGGTCTAATTCCCCTTCCCCTGGGCGTTTGATTGACTTATATCATCAAAAGAAGATAGCAGAAGTAATGTTCTAGAACTTCTGGGCCTACATCAAAAGAAACCTTGCAGCTTTGTTTGGCTTTCTTGGAACATTATCTCTGGGGGATCCCTGAGCTGCCACATAAGAAGTCTGACTACTTCGGACTCACCTTGTTGGAGAAGCCATAAATAGGTGCTTCTAGTCCCACCTGAGCCCAGCACTCCAGCCATTTCTACCTAGGTGCCAGACAGGTGACAGAAGCAGTCCAGGATGCCCTAGACCACTCCACTGGCCTGTTAAATGTCAACAAAGGACCTCTTTGGATACCTTATAAAATAGAAAATTATCTCAGCCCAAGTCCTGCTTCATTTCCTGACTCATTAATGATGAGATAGTAAAAAAAATAAAAAATAAAAACATTGCGGGCTGGGTGTAACTGTAATCCTAGCACTTTGGGAGGCTGAGGTGTGGATTGCCAGAGCTCAGGAGATCCAGACCAGCCTGGGCAACATGGTGAAACCCTATCTCTACTAAAACAGAAAAAATTAGCCAGGTGTGGTGCTGTGCACCTGTAGTCCTAGCTGCTTGGGAGGGACAAGCAGGAAAATCACTTGAACCTCGGAGAGGGAGGTTGCAGTGAGCCGAGATCTCGCCACTGTACTCCAGCCTGGGTGAGAGTGAGACTTCATCTCAAAACGAAAAGGTTTAAAAGTTGTTAGTCCTTCATTTTGAGAAAATAGACAACTAGAAAAGTTTACCAAATAAATGAATACTACTAGAAATACAATTACTTGGGACCATTTTTACCTATCTTGAATCTGTTAATCTACTCAATTTCCGTTTATTCCCGGAATCAGAAGTCTTCTCAGTGGCTAGTTCTAAGTCATTATATACGTACAGAATCAAAAGCATTATATTTCCCCCCCCACAAATCCTTTTTATCAGTCAGGCTGAGTGACTGAGGAACCCTCTGAAGGCTGTTTTTGCTAATAGATTGTCTGCAGTTTTATTCTATTTCTCTTTCCTCTAAGAGATCTTAGGTTAAAATTTTGAACGTTCACAGAACTGATAATTAGGAAAACGGTGGAATGAGAAAGTATAAAGTCAACAAAAATGCACTAGTCACATACAAATAAAAAGAATTATATTACATGATACAAGCAAATCAGAGTTAAGACTCACAGCAAGCTAAACCACATGGGTCCAAAACCAGCTGGTAAGCATGTCACCAAGGGTCAACTTACCCTTTTAGAATTTTGAGAAGTGAGTTTTGTATGAAAATAAACATAAATATATGCTGAATATTTAGTATCAGCCAGAGAAAAAATTTTGTTTACCTGCAAATCAATATTGTTCTCAATACAATGTTCATTCTTCTCTACCAAAATCTTCCCATAGTTTTCTGATTTGATAATATCTTCAACTCTGGTTGTATCTTTCACTTCTGGCTCCAAATCCTTCATTGTAGCAGTTTCATCTTTTACAGTAACAGTATCAGACATCCTCATTAGCAAAGGTTATTTTCGAATTCTACAGGGAGCTTGAAGCCTTAAGAAAAAAAAAATTAATCCAGTTTGAAACATTTTTACATTCAGTTACTACACAATACTGACTGACTGTCTGCTATGTTCCAGAAATAATGTTGAATAATATAGACAGGAGCAAAATTCCTGTTTTCAAGGAGTATATAATTTTGTGGTAGATACATCCACATAAAAAAAAAAAATCACAATATAGTGAGAAAAGAGCTACAAAAAGGATGTGAGCCAGGCGCAGTGGTACCCGCCCATAGTCCCGGCTACCTGGGTGTCAGACAGGATGATTGCTTGAGTCCAGGAGGTTGAGCCCAACCTGGGCAACAATAGCGAGTCCCTATTACTAATACATAAATAAATACATTTAAAGAGAAAGAAGACCAGGTGAGGTGGCTCATGCCTGTAATCTCAGCACTTTGGGAGGGCAAGGCGGGTGGATCACGAGGTCAAGAGATTGAGACCATCCTGGACAACATGGTGAAACCTCGTCTCTACTAAAAACACAAAAATTAGCTGGGCGTGGTGGCGGGCACCTGTAGTCCCAGCTCCGTGGGAGGCTGAGGCAAGAGAATCACTTGCACATGGGAGGCAGGGGTCGTAGTGAGCTGAGATCACATCACTGAACTCCAGCCTGTCAACAGAGCAAGACTCTGTCTCAAAAATTAAAAAAAGAATATGAGGTGATTTTCATGCACATTTACTTGTGGCAATTCTTAAGAAACATTAAGGACTGCGCCAGATCAAGGTAGAATGTAATGGCTGGAGAATAATATATTTGTATTTAGAAGACATTAGAAATCTTTTTCTCCAAAGGGATACCTATCATAGCTTTTTCATCTGGATTCCTAAAATTCCAAATTTCTTAATTACCCTGAAATATTTCCAAAAGGAAATAATTTAAAAAAAAAACCAAAAAAGTAACATTCTATTACAAAATACACTTGTAAATCTGGATTAACAAGTATGTTCAGCAATAAGAAAGCATTGAAAACTTTCCTGAATTAAGTGATTCAATGCCAAACAACACATATTATCCAGGCACTCTAGAATATGGAATCCACAGGAAATCAAATACATAAGATTCCAATATATTTCATATCATTAGTGAGTTTAAGAAAACTACTGAGTTCACACTGGGTTAATGTATCAGAGATTAAGCTAAAGACTGCTATCATGTTAAGATGTGAAAAATGTAATAAAAATAGCAGAACTTGGCTGGGTGAGGTGGCTCATGACTGTAGTCCCAACACTCTGGGAGGCCAAGGTGGGTGGATTGCTTGAGCTCAGTAGTTCAAAAGCAGCCTGGGCAACCTGGCAAAACCCAGACTTTACTAAAAATACAAAAATTAGCCAGGCACAGTGATGCATGCCTGTAATCACAGCTACTTGGGAAGCTGAGGCACAAGAATCGCTTGAAGCCGAAAAGTGGGGGGGGTCCAGTGAGCGGGAATCATGCCACTGTACTCCAGCTTGGGTGACAGAGTGAGGCTCTGTCACAAAACAAAACAAACAAAAAAACCAACAATGGCAGAACTTGATATAAACAACTGAGTCTAAAATGCATTAAAAAAAAGATTGATATATAGAGGGTAGACAGACATAGGTTATAGCAGGTATGATAAAACGTTACCGATAAAATCAAGGGGTGGTTATAGGGGTGTTCACTGTAAAATTCTTTAAACTTTTCTTTTTTTTTTTTTTTTTTAAGATGGGGTTTCACTATATTGGTCAGACTGGTCTTGAACTCCCGACCTCAGGTGATCTGCCCGCCTTGGCCTCCAAAGTGCTTGGATTACAGGCATGAGCCACCACGCCCGGCCAAATTCTTTAAATTTTTCTATATTTCTGAAAATTTTCATAATAAAATCTTGTGGGGGATAAAACCAGTGGAATTTATTTTCTCTATGTCAATCTGAAAAATTCTTAAGTTCATTTCTTGAAAGAGTGTTTTGTAATTAAATATCTAAATGGATTTTAGGGCCAGGAGCAGTAGCTCATGCCAGCAATCTCAGTGCTTTGGGAGGGTGAGGTAGGTGATCACTTGAGGCCAGAATTTGAGACCACCTTGGCCAACATGGCGAAAACCCATCTCTATTTAAAATACCAAAATTAGCCGGGCATGCTGGCACACGTCTGCATGCCTGTAGTCCCAGCTACTCGGGAGACTGAGGCAGGAGAATTACTTGAACCTGGGAGGCAGAAGTTGCACTGAGCCAAGACAGCACCACTGCACTCGAAGTAGATCCTAAAGTCACAGACAGATTGAACTATATTAAAAAACACCCATGTTTTCCTTAATTATAACCCATCCCAAAGTTAATTGGTTCCTTCTGAAAACCAACAGCTGCAAAGTGGGAAAGGGTGGGAAAGTTACTTAAAACACTTCAGCTCCTTGCTTTTTATAGGTAAAATTTTGCAAGAAAAAGAAGTGTATTTTTCTGAATGACAGCAAAGTATTACCTGATGTGTCCTTTGGATTTGGGATTGTGGTGTCCCACAAAAATAAAATAAAACAATCCAAGGTTCTTTTTCACAGTTGTCAGCCAGGATGTCAATTGTAGTGAACCATCTGTAATCTGGCAGGAGGAGTCCCATGTCCTTGTCACCACTGTAGATTCCTGGACTGAAATGGACTGTCTTGGATCAAATATATCATACCTTTCCGTGGCCTAAAATGAAACAAAAGAAACTCTTTCAACAAAATAGCCAAGGGAAATGGAACACTCCACATGAAACTGAGGAATTAAAAATACTACTATCAGTTGTTTTATTATATTATTTTTCTAAAGAAGAGTCAGAACACTTAGTAACAATGAATTGTAACATGTATTAGCTATGTGAACCTAAATAAGTCACTGAGGTCTACAGGATTGATTAGTTAAAAGCAGAAGAGAGAAGAAAAGGGGAAATGATATGTACTGAGAAGCTACGATGCTGTCAGGGTTATAATTGAGATAGTATCTATAGATAAGGAGAAGAAAAAAGATCACAATTAGAAACACTTTAAGAACCATGATTTTTAGAATTCTCTTCTAGAGCTGTAACTCTATGAACTTAAGACTGTAATTTTGAATAGTAGTAACATTTTAGATTTTTTAAAATACAAAAGAAAAAAAATAATAAGCCATTTAACATTTTCAATGAAATCTACATAGTTAAAAAAAAAAAAAGTCAGCTGGGTACAGTGGCTCATGACTATAATCCCAGCACTTTGGGAAGCCAAGGCAGGAGGATCACTTGAGGCCAAAGTCTCAAGACCGGCATGGGTAGCACAGTGAGACCCCATCTCTACAAAAATTTTAAAATTACCTGGGTGTAGTGGTGTGCAGCTGTAGTCCTAGCTACTTGGGAGGCTGAGGTAGGAGGATCACTTTAGTTGGGGGTTACAGTGAGCTATAATCATGCCACTGCATGCCAGTCTGGATGGCAAAGCAAAAACAAAACAAAACAAAAAACCCCAAATACAAAATTTTCTCTGTGTCATATTTTTAAAGTCAGTTTCAGATTATATTTATTCAGTATGAATGAATATAGCCTAGCAAGTAAACAACTCTAAAAAGATTATATGTCTCTTCCATTGTCCTTTGACAATTTTGTTGTCAATAAACAGAATAGTACAATTTTAATGTGAAATAACTAAGTATACATATAGGCATATAATGAGGTCTAAGCACCAAGAGACCTAACACCAGGACAGCGAAGCATGCATTATAGAGGGATTCACAGTTTTTTTCTTTTTTTTTGAGATGGAGTCTTGCTCTGTCACCCAGGCTGGAGAGCAGTGGTCAGACACTGGCTCACTGCAAACTCCACCTCCTGGGTTCAAGCAGTTCTGCTTCAGCCTTCCAAGTAATCGGGATTAAAGGCATGGCACACGCTACATCTGGCTAACTGTTTTACATTTTCAGTAGAGAGAGGTTTCACCATGTTGGCCAGGCTGGCAAATCACTGCGCCTAGTCGAGTAACTCACATTTTATACTAACTCTTCAAAAACCATTTTGAAATACAATCCCTTAGAACCCAATATATTCTGGCCGTGGCACGGTGGCTCACGCCTGTAATCCCAGCACTTTGAGAGGACGAGGTGGGTGGATCACGAGGCGAGGAGATTGATACCATCCTGGCCAACATGGTGAAACCCCGTCTCTACTAAAATACAAAAAAAATTAGGCATGGTGGCACGTGCCTGGTCCCAGCTACTCAGGAGGCTAAGGCAGGGGAATTACTTAAACCTGGGTGGCAGAGGATGCCGTGAGCCGAGATCATGCCACTGCACTACAGCCTAGGCGATAGAGCAACACTCCATCTCAAAAAACAAAAAACTAAACCCGATATATCCTTACATTAGTTCTCACATTTAGATTTCACAATGTTTGACACAAGGATAACAGAAAAGGGGGTATCAAAAACAAATGTCAAAAATGTTTTAACTGATACTGTGTCATCTCAATCTGACCAAGATTCTCCAGTCACTACATCAAATGAATGTTTTAAGTTCCACTAAAAACAAACAAACAAAATCCTTCAATGTAATTTTTCTCAGTTTTAGCTTTTTGTCTCATAAAATGGTAGACACAAGATGGCAGCATTCACTAAGCAACCAAATTGTGTTCTTTGTAAAGTGATTTTACAATTTAAATCATGAATCCCTTAAATTGGTAATTCCATAAAAGCAAGGCTTTTAATCCACTTAAGAAATAAATAAGGTACTAGATAAGGCAATAGCTACAGGAGAGAGTGAGGAAGGGGCAAAACTGAAGAGGCGAACATCTTAGAAGATCCTCTTAGGATCCCAAGGTCCTATGGAACCCCTAAGAACCAAGAGACCACCTAGTCCAATACTGTAATTCAGCATTCAAGTTACGATTGTCTAGAAGTAAAATGACTTCTTCAAAGTCACACAACCAGTATGTGTGACCAAAACTTGCTAATATGCCACACCACTTGACAACAGGCTACATAAATAAATGATTCAGAATCAAAATGACCAGTTATTGCCTGGGAAGGAGTCAATGGCACATAGAAATGGCAATAGAAAAGAGAAGGCGCACTAGCATTAGACCGGAGTTTAAATCCCTGCTCTGCTAGTTATATATTCAGTAAATAACTTAATCTCCCTGAGCTGCAGTTTTCTAATCTGTAAAGTGGAAAAAGCTTCCAGGTTTGTTGTGAGGACTGACTGATTTAAATGCAGAGCACCCACCACAGCCTCTTACAGGGTAGCCCTCCAAAAACCTTAGCTATCTTTCCTGGTCAGAATCACTTTAGACCAGCAGTTGGCTAAGCCTGAATTTACTGGGTCCTGACCAGTAAATTGACCCAGGCACAACAGTAGACTGACAGGAGGCCACTGTGCACAAGTGACTTTGCATTTTTGTGTATGGCTCTCATTTGAAGACTTCTAATTCAATATTAAAAATTCATACAAACTGTTGGGTGTAGTGGCTCAGGCCTGTAATCTCAGGATTTTGGGAGGTGGAGGTGGAAGGATTGCTTGAGACCAGGAGTTCAAGTCAAGCCTGGGCAACATAGCAAGACCCTGTCTCCCCCTCCCCGCCAAAAAAAAAATACAAACGTTGTATTCTTCTCCAAAACATTAATGTGCTTAATTTAAATTTTTTTTTTTTTTTAAGAGACAGAGTCTTGCTCTGTCACCCAGGTTGGAGTTCAGTGGCACAATCCTGGCTCACTGCAGCACTGACCTTTGAGTCTCAAGCTATCCTCCCATCCATGCTTCCTGAGGAACTGGAACTACAGGCGTATACCACTATGGCCAGCTAATTTTTAAATTGTTTTTGTAGAGATAGGGTCTTCTTATTTTGCACAGGCTGGTCTCAAATGCCTGTGCTTAAGTAATCCCCTGTCCCAACCTCCTGAAGTGCTCCCAACCTACAGGTGGGAGCCACCCTGCCCAGCTAATAAACTTGTTTGAAATAAAAATGGTTTCCCTTTCCAAATCTTCAAGTAAAAGGAATGTTTCAGCTTTGGTACTCACTGGAAAAACAAAAACACTCTTTTCTGGTAAACCCACGAAGCCTACACTTCTCAGTTTGCCAAAGGTTGTGTGGGCATGTGGGTGTCAAGCACAGAAAGCTACAAGACAGACATGGCACATCATGTCTCTAATGTAACATTTAGAAGTCCATTAAATGTACTGTCTTATTATAATAGTTGTACAGTAAGTGAAAGATACTCAGGAACCTACAGAATTTAGGAAGACAACTTGGAGAAAAAAATGAACAAAATGTAGGCATTCATTAGGTATATATATCTCAGTCTCTACTATTACTGCAATTTAAAAACAGAATTTTTCAGAATCTGGGTCAACCTAAGAGAAATGGATATATGTGCTCAAAATTCATGTTCAACTTCAGAAAAAACTGATTTTAATTGTTAACATGCTATTTATTAGGGACAAGTCAGAGATTTGATTATATACAATTTCTGTGCTACCAGGTAGATAACCAGAGAAATGCCACATGTACCAACTATGATGACTATGCAAACTTGGGTTTACATATGCACAAAAAGGATGGCACCTATCCGAAACCATAAATGAAAGGAAATTATACGTAAAATTAAAGGTCATAACCTTAAAAAAGTAAAAGTATGAATGTACAAAGATACACAAAAAATCTTTTTATAATTTTTGGGTGGGAAAGTCCTTCCCAAGAATGACACCAAAATCTAGAAGCCATCCAAGGTAAATAGTTATAAAACTCAGAAGAAGATTTTAAAATTTCTGTATAATAAAATAGAACATAAAAAAAAGGCAAATAATACAAATGAACTATTTCCTACATAAAATGTCAAAATATTGAAAGTAAAGCAGCTCTTATAAATCAAGGGAAAGAAGAACTGGAGAATGACAGGAATAGGTAAGTTACAAAAGAATACAAATAACTACTACCAAAACCAAATACTAATGAATATCTACCATGTGACTGACCCTGTTGTACTATTTTTCATAATGAATTCATATAAAACTCACACAACAGTTCTAAGACGTATGTCCTGCAATGCTGTATCATCATTTTTATGTACCAAGAAAAGGGGCAATTTGTGTTTATAGAGCACCTTCATTTCAAGAGTAATTATGAAATGGTAACTCCTTCGTACTGGACTTAAGATAAAGTAAATTTATTCTTTTCACATGGAGAGAGGCTATGTATTGTTTTTTTGTGCACAAGACAACAGTACTATTTTTTTTTTTTTTTTGAGATGGAGTCTCGCTCTGTTGCCAGGCTGGAATGTAATGACGCGATCTCGGCTCACTGCAACCTCCACCTCCCAGGTCCAAGCAATTCTCCTGCCTCAGCCTCCTGAGTAGCTGGGATTACAGGCACATCACCATGCCCAGCTAATTTTTGTATTTTTGGCAGACAGGGTTTCACCATGTTGGCCAGGATGGTCTTGATCTCTTGACCTTGTGATCTGCCTGCTGTGGCCTCCCGAAGTGCTGGAATTACAGGTGTGAGCCACTGTGCCCAGCCAACAGTACTGTTAACTTTGTTTGTATTAATGGTCAGCAGGAGTAGTCACTACCAAGCTATCAGAACTGCCAGGAATTATATAACCATTCTGCTTCCCTCTATCCTCCCATTGCTTGTGATGAGGAGTACCAACTATGCAAACTTGGGTGGCAATAAGGATTCAGAGTTCGTGGCT